CAAGAAGTCAGCGTGTGAGACAAAAGATGGGGCCAGCCCTGGGATTTGTCCTTTCGAGGGAACACCCCTAAAAAGTGGCTTGGTTGAGACCCCTCCTGGATGATCTTTGCTCTGCCCAGCTCTCTGACAAGTTAGTCTGCAGCTCCCTGCAGTCAGTGTCATGGACTGCAGGGCTTCCTATGTGCCTCTCTGCTGGCCAGCTGGTGGCTTTGGGTCGTAGAGGGGAGGGTGGGCACCAGTGATGGGATCAGGTGGAAACCTTGATCTCACTTGGTGCTCACCTCCAAATGCTGTAGAGGAAGAGAAACTCCAGGCGCACACGACAGGTGCAGAACTCTCAGGAGATCACTGTGCTGGACAGAAATCACCCCCGCAGTCCAGAGATGACACCTCTGCCAGAGCTAATGAGGTGAGAGTTTTTAATTGATTATCACTGATGTCAAATGAACATAGTCAGGCCAAAAAACTTGTGACAGACGTCACGCAGAGAGAAAATCAGGCTTTACTTAGGGCACTTTCCTATTATTGGTGATTGAAACCCTTAAACTGAGATATTTAATGATAAAGAAGAGATTTTCCTCTTCCTGTCTCACTCAAAAGGCCCCATTAAGAAGCCTGAGCATGGTCCTTGCTTGCTTTTCCAAGGTGGTGATCCCAATAGATGCTGTGCCCCAGCACTGGGCTCTGGGAATGTTTTTGGGGTGAAAGAAGCAGAAATAAAAGGGTGGCTCTGACAGAAACACAGAGCAGCTTGTAGTCTGAAGAGATCTCCATGTGGCTGTGTCCACCCAATATCCAGTTGTTTTATGTCTTCAGGATAGTTCTGGGAACTTTTTATTTGCCTTTGCCTTCTTTATCACCATCATCATGGCAAATGAAATCAGGTGTCTTGCTTATTTTTCTTCATCCATATAAAACAAACAAAGATGTAAAATTTGAGGTCTGCCCTATTTTTTTTGCCATGGAAGGAATCCATCATGAGAAAACAGTTTGGAGAAAGCCAATTTCTGCCAAAGGCCATTTGATTTTGTTCACATAAAAAGTAAAATCTTTGCTTGAAAGTTCAAGATTTCCCACTGAATTTGTCTTCCTTCTGCTGCTGATCAACCCCACTGCCAAACTATAAAAGTTCTGGTCTAACAGATTGTATTGATGTATTACAGTCTAGGAGCAGGGTAAAAATTCTGAGTGCAAGTACGCCTTCAAATTTCAGAACTTCTCGTGAACATTTGGGCATTACTGGATTGGGCTAAAATATCCTAAGAGCCTGGGATTTCTGTGCTACCAGTATTCCTGCTTTGAGACAAACAATATTACGCCCTACACTGTTTATGTCTTTTTTTTTTCCTGCTCCAGTACACGTTATGGCTGTGGCCAGGCCAGGAAATGCTTTGCTTTGACATGTTCTCAAATGCTGGAGTTTCTCCAAAAGCCCTTTGGCACTGATGGAGACCTGGGCTGATGCAGCACACAGCAGGGAAACTCTAATTACGGCCATTAGTACACATATTCTTCTCCTTTCTATGGCCCAGCAGTTCCACCCTGGGAGGAGACCCATACCCAACAAGACCCAGCATATCAACAGCAGTCTTCTTTGTCAGTGGAGAGGGAGCATTATTTGAGTGCTGGTCCCAGTCAAGTAGGGCTATCAGAAACCCAGGACCCCTAGCATTCAAGGAAGCCAGAACACCTTCTGAGTGGGAATCACACTGCAACTGTCAAAGAGCAAACTCAGTCATGGCTGAACTCCTTGGGGACCCCTGAGGGCAATGGATGAGGGCTGTGTTTTCCACCCCTACAGCATGTTGGATAGCATTGTTCTTTTGGGTGTGTGGGGTCACTAGCACACAGTTTGCAAGGTGACACCCTGAGTTCACTTGCAGTTATGCTGAGACGCAGCTCTGCTCTTTGCACTCATAATTTGCTGTGTGCAAAGCAAAAGCCATGAAAAGAAATATTGGAAGAAAGGCTGAATGGCTTCTTCCGCTCTGCACCCTCGCTGGCCCTGTGCCTCTTGTGTCATTTGGGCTTTTGGGTTTGAATCATTGCTGGGAGTCTCTTTAACTTTAAAACTTTATTTTCCAAGAAAAAGATCCTGGGTCACCAGAGAAAAGACGAACCAGTGGAGCAAAGAAACTGTAACAGAAGAGGTATTGACGAAGTGTATTTTAGCATTCCCATCTCTGCTCTAATGCAAATCTGTTGCTGACTACTGTGAAGAGCAGGCCTGAGTGTGCAGGGCCTGGCTGGGAGTCAAAGGCTCCTGGCAATGCCACATGTAAATTGTTTGAATGCCTAGAGGTACTTGGCTTGCTATCATGAACTGCCCATGGAGGAGAAAGACAATTGGTAAAAGAAGCCTCAAAGCTGATTGTTCAGCGTAATTGTACGTGTTGTCCTTCCACTCATTGCCCCCATCCATAACTCCACCAATGTGGGGTGTGCTAACTATTGTCCTCAGGCTGATTCCCTGCTACCACCCTCACCCCCAGCAGCACAGATTGCTCTATGACCCTATCCCCAGGAAAGCTGTACCAAGCATTGGTGGAGCTTGGCAAGATAGGTGGGAGGTCACACAACAAGTGGGCTGGATTTCTTGGTTCAAAGGCCCAGAGAACCATACCCAAGCTGTGAGTATTTTAACTTCAAGAGCTTCTCTCCCATTCCCAGTATGCAACTGTCTTCTAGTTTTTCTTGGCTTGGTGCATTTTCTGCTGATGTTAACCCAAGCATTCTCCTCACTTACAGATGACCATGAAAGCAAAGAAAACCTAGGACACAATAGCAGGTTTGTTGATGTGGAGATCTAAGCTGTGGGATTTCCCATCAGACCTCAAGGAGCTTGCTGGGAAAAGAGCTGTCTTTGGGGAGAGGTGTAGCTTTAGTACTGTAAGGCTACTCCACCCTTAAACTCCTTCCTCCACCAGCAGATGGAGATGGAGACAGGTAGAGGCCCTCCAGGACAGGAGTTGGTCTCTTTGTAATGATCCTTGGTCTACAGCATGCTGTCTGTATGGGAGTTATTCACATAGTGGCTTGATACTTCCATGTAGGCAGCTGGGACCACTCTAAATGCTTTATGGTAATCAGGATATTTGTACAGGACTGGAAGAAATGATACAGAAAATACTCATCTGCCAGGAGCTGCAGCCAGAGGCTGGGAGAAATGCATGTGAGTGTCTGAATGCTGCCCTGAAGTCCTGAGGTGGATCAGGTGAAAATAGCAAGAGTGGTGTAAGTGGGCTTGATGTCGACATTACAGTATTTCTTTCCCTTCCAATAGCTGCCTGGAGAATCCGTATCTGTCCAATGAAAGACTTTGAACAGAAGAAACAATGACCCTAGAGTTTGTTGCTGTAATGTCAAAAAATTCCAGGTTTTCTGAAGAGTCATCCAAGATCTGTGTTGCTTTGTACAAGCAACCTGGACAATACCAGGAATTTGCTGTTCTGAAAAAAAGGTAAAAATGATACCTAAATGTAGGTTGATATCACATTTTTGGAAAACATATAGCTCACCCCACATTTAGGTTTCCAGCCTGGGCTTCAGCTCCAGACAAAGACACCTAAACTTAGGACACTGTAGGAGTTACAGTGTTAAGTCTAACTTCTGTAGGTCCTGCGTCAGATCTGCATGGAGGTCTAAAACATTACGGAGCTTCTCAAATGTCACCAGATGCCTTGCATGAGAGAATATAGAATGAATAGAGTCACCTCAGTTCTGGTACAGTTGCAGCACTCAGCAGGAATATCTCTAGATATATTTCCCTTTCTATTGCAAGGCAGCTGCAACTTTGGCTAGAACCAGGGTCGTTCGCTAGAACCAGGGTTGTTCACTTCTTACCAGTTATTTTCATTTCTCTCCTGTCTGATTAACCTTCAAGCTCAGGTCAGAACATAAAGTATTTGTCTGCCATTATAAAGGCCAGAGGCATTTTGTTGAACTTTGCATTTTGAATGTGAGTGTTGGTTGCTCATTCTTGCTGCATTAACTGATCTGTACAGCTAAAGTCCATCTGGGGTTGAACCTGATGGAAGGTCCTTATGGTGTAGTAACTAATTAATCTTCTTTATTCTATTCTAGAAAAAACGTGATCATGGGCCATGCAATGATCCCCATTTCTGACCTACAGAGAGGACCAATTTTTTATAAATATGCTATCCTTAACAATGTGCTCTCAACTGACTGTGACATGAGATTATGTGATTTAGAGCACATTTATGGAATGGACTCCAAGAATAAAGAGAATCAATTACATCGAGTCATAAACATTCCCAAGGAAGAGATCAAAGCAGATGGTAAGTGTTGTACTTTCTTCAAAGGTAGGACTGGGGTGAAGTATGACCAATAAATCCTTGCACGCAGCAGACAAATATAAACTCTCCCTTGTTTTGCTTCACAGTGGGGCACCACCTGCTTCCTACAACAGAAGCATTGTTATGTGGGGATTTTTGCACATAGTCTTATGGGGTGTTTTTTTAACACAAAAAAAATTCTTCATATAACACAGATGGCAAGTGTTATATATCACAAAGGAGAGTGTATAATGAAGCCTTGAATCACCTTTGCATCTACCATCAGGCTTTCACTTGCCATTCCAGAAAGGCGCAGGTGAGCTGGTGGTCCAGTGTCGGATCAGCCACCCTGTATAGATGTTTTGAATATGCCAGGATGACTCAAAAAGTAGTAGACACCTATTATTGGGGCAATTGAATCAGCCATGGGCTATGCATACCAGGCCCATCTAAAGTGCAGGTGAGATATCTAGGGCTGAATTTAAATATGCATGGTGAGTTTTGTGCGTTAGTGGCTCATTTATGGCTCAGCTGGGCTTGACACTCATATAAAGCAATTGGTCTCATTAGCTCAGGGCCAGTTTAAGACTCATCCTTTAAAGTTTAAAGGTTCATTCACAAACACTGATTCCTCCCCAGGAACATGGACCATCTTTGAAAACATGAAGTGCTATTTTCATGGAAAAAAAACCCAAACCATCAAATACTTTTCTTCCTTCAATCCATGGTCTTCAACAATGCCCCAAAACTCAGTCAACTGTAGTATCATAGAACACCTTGCAGATGAATTTCTCCGGCCCATCAGGCTCCAGAATGGCTTTAAGAATATAGAAAGGAAACTGAAGATCTACACAGAGACCTTCAAAATCTATCTTGAGGATGCTGCAAAAGGTGAACCCTATTCTCCAGCTGATCTTACTGAGCAAGTGGTAAGTATACACCAAGCCAAAGTAGCAAGCAGCTCCCAGGTAGGCAGACCCCTGAAGAGAAATTTCTGCAGCTACCCCTAATTCCATGTAGGTTTCTGAACCACAGCCAGAGAACATCAAAAGGCTGGACCTTATATTCATTGCTTTTTCCAATTTCTGAGTTGGACCCAAAGCCTGATGAGGTCAAAGGAGGTCTTCTGTTGGAATCAGAGCCAAATGGTGTCATTTGCAGAACTAGCTTTGAGGGTGGGTCATGGAAAGACTACCTTGTTTTTGAGAATCCTGTGTGGAAAAAAAGAACTTCATATGCAGTTTCTGGCTTCAAAGCCTCATTTCAAAGTTTAAAATTAGATTCCCCTTTGACTTATTTCTCAGGGGTATGAACCAAAGGTAGGGTGCAGTTTAAGGTTGCAGACACCTAAAATAAAACTAGCATACTGAAAAATAACTAGGTGCATACACGCTGAATGTCTTAGCTCCTGTTGTAGGTGCTGAGAAGTAGTCAACAGAGTCACTGAAGGATTGGAGAGTCAACCATTCAGTAGGCACTGATGTTTAGTCAGAGGAACAGTTTACCAGTCCTTATCAACTGCAATGATGGATCCTCTCTGGGCTGAAATTGCTTCTTTCAGGTGTTTACTCGCCTGAGCTGAGTACTACTTTCAGTGTGAACAGGTCCTCCTGAGCAAGCCCCCCCTCCCCAGCTCCCTTTATTACCAGCAGAGATCCATCTGCAAGCAGTAAAGGGGAGGATGTTTGTCTTATCCTAAGGTGGACAGGTGGAATTTTGCCCTGGACACATCCATCTCTTGCCATGGATTGAGCAGGATTCCTGGAAGAAAAGTCGAAGTCAGTATTTTCACTGTTCATGGAAGTGAATCCCTGTCCTGTAAATGCAATAACAAGGCAAAATCTCCATGGCTAAAGGAGACGTCTGATGTCCACTCCCATCCCAGCCTGACTTCTCTCTGAGATGGTACTAGGTCTGGCTGGGATGGAGTTAACTTTCTTCATAGCATATGGTGCTGTGTCTTGCATTTGTGGCTAAAACAGTGTTGATAACAAATGAATGTTTTGGCTATTGCTGAACAGCGCTTGTGCAGCATCAAGGCTTCCTCTCTCCCCTGGCTCCCCACAGTGAGTATTCTGGTGGTGGACAAGAGTTTGGGAGGGGACATAGCCAAGACAGCTGACCCAGATTGACCAAAGGGATATTCCATACCATATGATGTTGTCCACAGCAATAATAGCTCTGAGAAATGAGGAGGAATCAGGGATGTTCACAGTTATGGCATTTGTCTTCCCAAGCAACTGTTACGCGTGCTGAGGCCCTGCCACCCAAAAAGGGGCTGGACATCTGCCTGCCAATGAGAAGTAGTGTATGAATTCTTCTTTTTGCTTTGTTTATATGCACAGCTTTTGCTTTCCCTGTTTAACTGTCTTTATCTCAGTTCATGAGTCTTCTCACCTTCCTTCTGTTTTCATCCTGGTCCACAGGAGAAGAGATTAAGTGAGAAGCCTGGTGGGTGTTTGGCTGTTGGCTGGGCTCAACCCACCAATGCTGTTTAATGAAAGCCCTGTTTGAACTGAGGTGCCACATCCACCTGGCATAGTCTGGGGCTTGCCTCAGAGGGAGTCAGCAGGGTATATCCAGAAGAGGACTGGGTACCTAGGTTACAAACATCTAGGTGGGGATGTTGTCTTACATTGTGGATGTATCCTAATAGGTCACACATAGTGGAAAGCCTAAAATATACCTGGGCTACACAGGATGCAGAGCAATGCCTTGTAATTCATCTGTAGGGAAATCCCAATGAGAGGAGTTGAGTGACAGGTGCTGCATCTCTGTTTAGGTGAAAGTTGTTTAAGTGCCCTTTGGGTTTCTCAGTCATGGAGTCATACTCCTATACTATCGGGTCACAAGTGGTGTTCCCCAGGGCTCAGTATTGGGGCCAGTTCTGTTTAATATCTTTATCAATTATCTGGATGAGGGGATCGAGTGCACCCTCAGCAAGTTTGCAGATGACACCAAGTTGGGAGGCAGGGTTGATCTGCTCGAGGGTAGGAAGGCTCTACAGAGGGATCTGGACAGGCTGGATCCATGGGCCGAGGCCAATTGTATGAGGTTCAACAAGGCCAAGTGCCGGGTCCTGCACTTCGGTCATAACAACCCCATGCAGCGCTACAGGCTTGGGGAAGAGTGGCTGGAAAGCTGCCCAGCGGAAAAGGACCTGGGGGGGTTGTTTGACAGCCGGCTGAATATGAGCCAGCAGTGTACCCAGGTGGCCAAGAAGGCCAACAGCATCCTGGTCTGCATCAGAGATAGGGTGGCCAGCAGGAGCAGGGAAGTGATTGTCCCCCTGTACTTGGCACTGGTGAGGCCGCACCTCGAGTACTGTGTTCAGTTTTGGGCCCCTCACTACAGGAAAGAGATTGACATGCTGGAGCATGTCCAGAGAAGGGCAACGAAGCTGGTGAAGGGTCTAGAGCACAAGTCTTATGAGGAGTGGCTGAGGGAACTGGGGTTGTTTAGTCTGGAGAAGAGGAGGGTGAGGGGAGACCTTATCGCTCTCTACAACTACCTGAAAGGAGGTTGTAGTGAGGTGGGTGCTGGTCTCTTCTGTCAGGTGGCTGGAGATAGGACAAGAGGAAATGGCCTCAAGTTGTGGCAGGGGAGGTTTAGGTTGGATATTAGGAAAAATTTCTTTACTGAAAGGGTTGTCAATCATTGGAACAGGCTGCCCGGGGGTTGAGTCACCATCCCTGGAGGTATTAAAAAAGCGCTTAGACAAAGTACTCCAGAACATGGTTTAGTGGGCATGGATAATGATTGGACTTGATGATCTTGAAGGTCTTTTCCAACCTAAATGATGCTATGATTCTATGATTCTACTAAGCTAGGCCTCTGAGAGAATATCTCCACTATTCCTTTTGATTCTCTTTGATTTCCCAGCTCAGCTGGGAGACTGAAGATCTGTTTACCTATACTTCATCTGTGGTAGGGCTTGAGCATCCTAGAATGGGTGGCCAGTAGGCTTCTGCTGCCGACATGGCTTCAGCACATAAGAACTACTTGGTAAACTTGTGACAGCAAGGAAAACATTCTCCCTGTGGTAGTGCCAGGGTAATGTGACACAATGGAAGCTAAGAAATTTGTTAGCTGTTACAAAGACAGGAATCTGTCTTTAGGTAAGTGGTCTAACTGCAAGTCTTTTGCCTCCAAATAATGATTCTTAGCAACTTCCATCCTCCTTCCTGAACCCTTCCCAGCTCCTCAAGTAAAATTGTCTTGTCTAGCTTGGTGAAACTCACCTTCCTTATTCTCATTGTCCAGTTGCACAATAACATGATAAAGTTCATGGACAAGATTGTTGGATACCTGGAAGAAGAGGAGCATAAAGATGATGGGCTGCTTTTTGCCTTACACACCTCATTTTGTTATAACATCCCACTAAGCAAAGAGTTAATAATCAAGGCTGAAAAACTCTTCCAGGACATTGGCCCGTTTCAAGGCAAATTCAAGCATCTGAGAGGAAAGAGGTAATTTAAAATGTCCTCCTACTTTCTTGAGTTATAGATCCTTCTATAGTCATTCAGTTCATTGGGCCATTTTCTCTATGGAGCAATTATATGAAGACAGAGGTAGAATATGATCCCCCAACACTTTTCCCCCTTCACTTCAATGCTTCCTAGCTATATTTCTGCCACTGGCTGCATAACCTGTGCAGCCTGTCCCTTCTGACAGGTCTCCAATGGAAGGAGAGCCACGGATCTTATTTTTGGCAGGGACTGGCTTGAGATTCAGACCCTTACATTTATGCACATCTGTAGGTGTCTGGGCTTCTGTTATAATCTTTGGAGATCCAAGACTCAGCTGGGCATCAGTGTCATTTTAGATGTCATGTGCTATCTCACCAAGCCTCCTGCTGACAATTTGAAAGGATCAGTATCTCCCAGAAGTTCTGGTTCATATCTGAAAACCCTGCAGGTCTGTCTTGGATGTCCCAGACATCTCAAAGAGAATTAGACACTTTTGTGTAGACCGCTGAATTGAGCCCTATATAAATGGATATATTAGAACACCAAGTCAGATTACTGTATTCTCTTATGCTGTTTTGATATAACCTATAGCATTTGTGTTATTTTTCTTTTGATTTTCCTTTGCTACATAAAACTTATGGAGGGAGACTGTTTGGGGAAAGCTGGGGTGGGATTCATTTGTTGTACATGAATGTCTGCTGATAAGGTCTCTAGAACCAAGCTCTCCCTCTCTCTCACACACCTTCATGCAGCTACATGTTGGCAAGATGAATGTCATTGTGTTGAAGGGAAAGCACACAGCTCCCACTGCCATCCTAGGAGGTGGTTATGGGAGCTCTGAGCACTAAAGGAGATTTTTAGTGGTTCTCTTTCTTTTCAGCAATTACATTTCCGCTGTGAAGGAAATTTGCTTAAGTAATAAAGGCAACACCTTGTGTATTTGGCTGATTCCATTGCTGTATGCAATCACAGAGAAGATGGAGGACCCCTTTTTTCCACAAACCATTCACTTACAACACATGTCGCAGCTAAGAAATGATGAAGAGAAGCAGAGGTAGGTTTGAAAGGGAGAGAGCATTCAAGGCTGGGTCAGGGAAATAAGCAGTTGCACTGTTAGAATAATTTTTCATTGCTTTTGCTTGTGGACTTCCAACCGCCAGAAACTTTGTGTTTCTTCCCTGGGATGCAAGCCATTGCCTTTCTCATTACATCCTACTCCTGCCCTGGGCTCTACCTAGGAGAAAAGGAGGATGTTTGAAGGTGAGCTGGAGGAAGGGGAAGACTGAGCTAAGAACTGTGCAGCCACATTCAGACAGCCTGTTAGGAGTGGCCTTAGGGAGAGAACTACCCCTAGATCCTCATTTGGGTGTTGTTTCACAGGGAGAAAGGTGGACTCACTCCAAAATATCCTGTCTGCAGACAAACTGGACAGGGAGCAAAGGCACATATATGCACTCACACAAGATGGTGTCCCCTGGACTGAAAGTCTCAAACAGAGAATTTCTTGTTAAAAACCCCAAAAAAAAAAAAAAAAAAAAAAAAAGCCACAAAGTGCCTCCTGATGCTTCAAAGTGCATCTGCTGTTGATGGTCTATTTTTATAGGAAAATCCTGGCAATGATAAAGATTCACAAGTCATTCATTGAAAGCTGCTCTCCACTGGCAAAGACAGTCTTGGAGATGTTGTCACTGAAGAATTTCACCAAGGGCTCCATGCTGCAAATCAAGCTTCCACCTCAGCTCCTCCTGGATACTGTGTACCAACGCATTGTTAATGTCGTCTGTAAACCATCCCAAGTGCATGTAAGGCAATCAGACAATACACACAGCAATAGATCAACTTCTTGTTAGTGTTTCTTTCCTAGCTTATGGAAAGTTGTGCAACTTTGTACAGGTGAGCCAGAAAGTCTCCCTGGCTCCTGAAGAAATTTTCAACAAATCCAAAGGGGTTGAAACATAGGAACCTGGAGTGAGAGTTCAATACCCATATTTTGAGAGAACTGGCAAAAAAGAAAGGGCAAGGGGATCTCACTGGTTTTTGCCTTCATTGAAAAATGACTAGCAAATGCTGTATCAAGTGAATTTTAATCAGAATCTTTAAGCAATTTTTATATCCTGTCTCCAAAAGCAGTACCCAAAATGAACACTGTGGGGATCAAGCAATTGGAACTTTGTTTAAAGATGGAAAGGATGAAAGAAGGAAGTTAAAGTTCTAACTTGCATTTGGGGGGGTGATTATTTTTAAATTTAAATTGGACTTGTTTGTGGGAACCTACTTTCTATCATTCTCACTTATGTTTTAACTAGACTGTTGTAATATTCTCTGAGGCCCTGGAGAGGAATTCCACTTAAAATCTAATTCTTGGTGCTTTTTATAGGGTTTACCCCCAACACACTCTGATTTGTACTTGAAAAAAATCTGAGCTAAGCCCTCCCACACCATCCTCTGAACTCCAGACATCTTGGATACAGCTGGCTTCTGTGGGATTTGAAGTGATTGTTATAGTAGGAGCTAGATCTGCCTTTCCATCTGGAAGCACTGGGTTGTTTTTTTTAATCAAACATCGGCAGAAAAAAATTCTCTGAAGGTTTCATACTTACCAGTTTTCATAGGAGACTGCCTCAGCTCTAGGAATGGATGTGTTTTCACAGTTGTTTTCAGTGTATTTTTTAACCCTCTCTTCAGGAAATAGATTTGAATGGAGTTTTGGACAACATTGCTGAAAGGATGGCATTCTGGTTCAAGGACTTGTAAGTGCTAACCTTTTGAGTGGAGTTATACTAGGACAGCTCTGTGGAGGAGGTGGGAAGGAATGGCTAGACTTGTGGTTGAGCAGAACAAGGGAGGTTGTAGTAATTTTCTTTGTTAGTTCTATGTATGTATGTATGTATGTACATATGAGACCCCACCTGGAGTCCTGCGTTCAGCTCTTGGGCCCCCAACATAAAGACATAGACGTGTTGGAGCGAGTCCAGAGGAGGGCCATGAAGATGATCAGAGGGCTGGAGCACCTCTCCTATGAAGACAGGCTGAGAGAGTTGGGGTTGTTCAGCCTGGAGAAGAGAAGGCTCCAGGGAGACCTTATGGCAGCCTTCCAGTACCTAAAGGGGGCCTACAAGAAAGCTGGAGAGGGACTTTTTACAAGGGCATGTAGTGGTAGAACAAGGGGTAATGGCTTTAAACTGAAAGACGGTAGATTTAGACTAGATGTAAGGAAGAAATTCTTTACTGTGAAGGTGGTGAGACACTGAAACAGGTTGCCCAGAGAGGCTGTGGATGCCCCATCCCTGGCAGTGTTCAAGGCCAAGTTGGATGGGGCTTTGAGCAACCTGGTCTAGTGGAAGGGGTCGCTGCCCATGACAGGGGTGTTGGAACTAGATGATTTTTAATGTCCCTTCCAACCCAAACCATTCTATGATTCTATGCCATAATCTTTTAAACCCCTGTGGGGCTGAGGAGTATCATGTGGGAAGAAGGTCCACAGGGGAATCTGTCCTGTCAGACAGTGTATATCCATCTCCTGTTGTGGGATTCAGCTCCAAATTCAGACACATAAGTGGCTCTGGTTGGCTGAGATTGCATAGTATTGTCCAGCAAATGAAGGACACTTAAGCTCAAGGTTGTGTTGACTGTTTTTTAAATGCTAGTGTGTTAGAATTAGCACAAGAGGTGTACAGTGTTTTTCTGTGTCCACAGGTGCTTGCCAGGGGGTACAGAGCAGCTGATGAAGCCCGCAAATAAGGAGGATATCATGCCATGTGTGCTGCAAAATCAGATGTGTTGCAAGTAGATCAGGTAAAAACAACACCCGTAGCTTTCATGAAGACATATACCCATGCCTTTTTAGCTGAGAAGGGCCAAGACTTCAGGTTTGCTTCATTCAAATGTGGCCAGCTACAGGAGTGACAGCAGAACATGTATCCACCTTTCTCAGTTACTTATTCTAACCTTGTCAGAATTTGTGCTAGGGTGGACAAGCAGGGTTTGCATGGACAGAGCGGTGCAAACAAAGCTGGTAGCATCTCAGAGTGTGCCAGCCATTTCTCTTCTTGAAGGCCCTTGACAGTTGTGGGAAGGACTTTGTTTTCACTGTGTACACAGCAGTTAAGGATCAAAAGCTAGAGTGAAAATCTGGCTCTCCTTGCCAATTCTCTCCTTTTTTTATTTCCCAATAATTTTCAGCAGTTTATATCAGAAATGTACAACGAGTTCGCAGGTTACATCAAGAAGTGGCTGGAAAAATCCTTGCCCAGGCCACCCATGGAAAATAGGCAGTTCCTGAAAAACATTGATGTGAGTAGCAAGAACCCATACAAGGGATAACCACCCACCCTGGAAGGTCTGTCTATACCTTGAGGCCCAGTTGACCAGCTTTGCTTTTCTGCCACAGGAGTGGCATCAGCTGTTCTTGTTTGAGATCCTCTGTGTGGAATGGACCCAGAAATGGCAAAGCCTGATATACAGCATGGTTGAAAGTTGGCTGGCGAAAGTAAGTTATGGTTACTTAACTTCAAGCAGGGGTGTGATGCTCAGACTTCTCCTGACCCCGGGATGCTCTGTTTTGTCTCAGTGAGTGTTTGGATGATGGGAGCTGAAGCAGCCAGCTCTTTGCTGGTGTAGAGGGGCATAACTCCTCCCCCACTGTAAGAACCCAACGATATTTTGCAAGGCTCCAGGAAGAAACTGCAGCTTAAGCATTTCCTTCCTGCAGGTAGATGGCAGAAAACTTCTGGACTTCTACTTGGAATTCATGAAGAAGGACAAGTGCTGGCATACAAATCTGGAGACCTGCTTTACAGATTGTGTCATTCAAAGTATTAAATACTTTGAGAAAAGTGAGGTACAGAGTCTCTGTCTAAATGCCACTGTCCCTTCTTGCACAGCTGGGAGTTTCTACCTCCTGCCACACCGAGCTGACCCACTTTGCTAGCTGTGCTTACTTGGCCTGCTGTGGGTTAATGGAGTGGGAGAGGAATTTTCTGTAAAGGTACAGGTTCTGCAAAGTGTATTTACAACTAAGAGGAGAAATTTCATGTCCTTACAGGAACACACATTAGCAAAAAATATTTCCAAACTCCTCAAGACAGACAGGTCAACTGTTGGGAAAGTGCTTTCTGCTGTTGTTGAGAAAATATTCTCAGACAAGATGAGAACATTGAAAGAAGTAGACAGATTTGACAGCACAGGCCCAGTTCTTGAAGAGGTGCTCAGCTCTTCTGTGACCTATGATCTCTTCTCTGCTGTCAGTAAGTGTCGTGGTTTAACCCCAGCCAGCAACTAAGCACCACGCAGCTGCTCACTCACTCCCCCCCATCCAGTGGGATGGGGGAGAAAATCAGGAAAAGAAGTAAAACTCCTGGGTTGAGATAAGAACGATTTAATAGAACAGAAAAGAAGAGACTAATAATGATAATGATAACACTAATAAAATGACAACAGTAGTAATAAAAGGATTGAAACGTACAAATGATGCGCAGGGCAATTGCTCACCACCCGCCGACTGACACCCAGCCAGTCCCCAAGCGGCGAATCCCCCCCCCCCCCTCCCCAGTTCCTAAACTAGATGGGACGTCCCATGGTATGGAATACACTGTTGGCCAGTTTGGGTCAGGTGCCCTGGCTGGGCATGAGAAGCTGAAAAATCCTTGACTGTAGTCTAAACACTACTGAGCAACAACTGAAAACATCAGTGTTATCAACATTCTTCACATACTGAACTCAAAACATAGCATTGTACCAGCTACTAGGAAGACAGTTAACTACATCCCAGCTGAAACCAGGACAGTAAGTTTCCCACAGAGTGGCTTTTTTTTAAATTCTTGTTTTGGAAGTAAGCTTTGATGGGTTCTGAAGGCCAAGCAACATCTAAGGCACATATCACTAAAATCACAAAGTTCAGCCATGGAGCTGGGCAAAGTTTGTGATCAAGTCCTTTCTTTTGCTAGAAGGGAAGATGAGGTTTCACCAGCTCTGTTCAAAGATCTGCCAAGTTTGTTGCCAACACAAAATGGAAGAAACAATATATGCACATACCCTGGAAAAATGATGTTTCATTTCAGAAACTAAGAAGCATCTCGATTTCTTTTTCCAGTCAAAATGGTGTTTTGTTGCCCATTCATGGGAGGTGTTTCATTTTTTTAAATGAAGCCTATTAGAAAAAATTATTCCCTGAAAATGAAAAAAAATAACAGAAATGCTAATTGTGAAGCACCCTAGAGGTTTGTCTCCTGCATGAAGGAGGATTATAACCAAAGCTAGGCCAGGGTCCTCTAAAGATACATTTTGGGTTTCATGTACCTGAGACAATTGAAAAATGCTATTTTACATTGACTGGGAACAAAGCAACATTTTTCCCGTATGCTGGTGTTGGCCACTTAATTGGAAAACAACCAAATCTGTGCATTCCACAAACGTGGCTGTAACAGATCCCCTTGCTACTCGTGGCTTGGAGGCAGGGTGCTACAAAGCTGCTAACTCTTCCCGAGGATGTATGTTAAAAAGAAATCCAGTGGGGAAACTGCTTCTTTGAAAGCACTGCTCTGTCACTAGATTTCATCTATTTTACAGAAAAATCAGAGCACAAGCTTCAAAATCAGATCAATGAAAAAGCAAAAATCCTGCTTTCCCAGTTTTCCAATTTCTTCTGCTTTTTGAGACATCGAGTTTTCTGAGGAGACATCCCCTGCAACATACTGTCCATCATCTTGCAGCATCAAGTGACATTTCAGAATATACTGTGCATGTGCGGTAAGCTCACAGTTTCCAAATTTATTTCCCAAAACAGTAATTTCATGTGGTGTGTTTTCCTATGCAATGGTGCAAATAGAAAATACATCTATTGGAAAGGTATCTAAAACACAGAGAAAACAAAAAATTCTCTGCAAGAGAACAAACACAAGGGCAAAAAATATAAAAGTTGAATACAGGCAATATTTTTAAGCCCTGTTAACACTATGAAGGACAGAAAACAATACTATTCCTCTGTACAAAGGATAGCAATTAAAATATTGTGGTGTTCTTATGATTTATTTATGGAATTGTATATGTGTTTTTAGAATCATAGAATGCTTTGGGTTGGAAGGGGCCATTAAAGACCACCTAGTCCAACGCCCTGCAATGAGTGGGGACATATTCAACTAGATCAGGTTCCTCATAGCCCCATCCAACTTGACCTTGAATCTTTCTAGGGATGGGACATCTACCACCTCTCTGGGCAACCTGTTTCGGTGTTTCACCACCCTCATTGTAAACATTTTCTTCCTTATATCTAGTCTGAATCTACCCTTTTTTAGTCTAAAACCATTACTCCTTGTTCTATTGCAACAGACCCTGCTAAAAAGTCTGACCCCATCTTTCTTATTAGACCCCTTTAAGTACTGAAAGGCTGCAGTAAGGTGTCCCTGGAGCCTTCTCTTCTCCAGGCTGAACAACCCCAACTCTCTCAGCCTTTCCTTACAGAAGAGGTGCTCCACCCCTCTGATCATTTTTGTGGCCCTCTATCTGGACTCGATCCATCAGGTGCATGTGTTTCCTGTGCTGAGGACCCCAGAGCTGGATGCAGTACTGCAGGTGGGGGTCTCATGAGAGCAGAATAAAGGGGGACAATCACCTCCCTCGACCTGCTGGCCATGCTGCTTTTGATGCAGCCCAGGCTACGGCTGGCTTTCTGGGCTGCGAGCACGCATTGCTGGCTCACGTGCAGCTTTTCATCCACCAGTACCCCAAGTCCTTCTCGGCAGGGCTGCTCTCAATCCCTTCACCCCCCAGCCAATATTGATACCGGGGGTTGCCCTGACCCAGGTGCAGGACCTTGCACTTGGCCTTGTTGAACCCCATGGGCCCACTTCTCAAGCCTGTCCAGGTCCCTCTGGATGGCATCCTGTCCCTCAGCTATGTCAACCGCAACACTCAGATTAGTTTAGTGTCTTTAGGGGTTTTTTTTCCTGTTCCTGTTTATTCTGGTTACAGAACAACATTCAAGGACACAGGCCAGTTTCAAAATCTGCCTAAATTTTACAAAAACCTGGAAGAAATCTCTTCTAGATTCTTCTGCAATAATAAACTTCATCCATGGGTCCCAGAGTGTTTTGTCGTGTTTTGTCAGTGATCACATCAGAGTGGCTCTGGGTTGATACTGCTGCTTTTAGATCAAGTGACACGGCCTTTATGCAAATTCAAGCATGCATTTTTAAACAGCAGTGGTTATATTTCCAGTAGCTCTTCTCTCTCTCTCCAAGTGATTTTCTTAAAAAATTCTTTATATCTGAGGTCTGGGCATGGGGTTTTTTGTTTGTTTCTTTCCCCAGATTCCTCTGTCTCCAGCTGTATAGCAACAGTGCTGAAAGTCAGAACGGAGGAATATGAGCAACTGGAAGAGCAGAAGAAGCAGAGATGCTCATTTCTGTGTCTATGCAGCAGCATAGAGGATGTGATAAGAGGTACCATCCCATTCTATTTGAGAGGATGGGATTGCCTATGTGGTTCTTAAATGGGGAGCTGTCTCCTAAAATAGAGAGCTGGTAGCAAATCCTCCAGGAAATGGTGCTGCATGACTGTCTAGAGAGTAAGCAGGGAGCTCTTTAAGGAAAAAAGGAATTGGGAAAGTCTGGTAGAGGCTTATACATGGAAGGAGTTCAGAATAGTGGGAAAATCTGTCTTATGGGGGAAGATTAAACAGTGCCAGGTATTTCATTTTTCTAAGAGACATGTAAGGTTGGATCACCTACTTTGACAAATGTTTGTAGGGGGAAAGTGCATTTCAGACAGGACAAACAATTTCAGACAAGATCTGGGACCTGAAAAGAGGAGGACAGAGCTAGCAAAAGGGAACAGAAATGTATATTTGTTGGGAAGACTCCCGCAGTGAGCTCTTCCTGCTGGACAGTGGGCCACACACGTCCCAGCATTGAAGTTCTCGGATTGGGTGCAAGAATCAACAGAAGTGATTCTTCAGCTGGGGGGGGGGGGGCGGGGGGGGGAAAAGGGGGGGGGAAGTCCCCTCCACCTCTATTTCAGGGCCAGGTTGTTTTCTGATAGTACAGACACTACCACAGTTTCAAGGCCATAGTTTGAAGGCTCCCTTCCTCATCACGGAGCAATTGATTTTGCCCACCATTTGTTTTGGTGCTGATCTTGGATTCAGTTTTTCCCCCATGTACTTTGCCACAAACAAATACACACACCCCCACCCCACCCCCCGCACACCCCTCTTTGGTGTTGCAATCAGGTTCAGAATATTTCTATGCTTAGCGGGTAAGTGTCTTTCTAGCTGGAGAAATGCACTAATGTTTTTGTTTCCACCTTGTTTAGTGGATAGAAGTGCTGTGGAGAAAAGCATCAGAAAAAGAGGAAGTTTTAAGGATCAGATATCTGTAAGCAAATTTTCAGTGAACGGCAAGAAGGAAAGTCCTGAATTACACCCCCTTGTTAAATATAGTGACATGATGAAAAAAATTTATAACTTAGAGGAAAATAATTATTTTTGGAGACTGTGGAAGCAAAAAGCAAAGCAAATCAAAGCCACAGTCCCTGAAGAGAAAATTCTCTTAATAGAAGATGTGCAAGAAAACATTTATAAACCAGCCATTGCTGACTTTCGGAGTACCTATCTGGCCCTCAAAGACTTTTCCATCACCCTTGGGACTGTGCAGAGACATTTTGGGAAGCAGTTAGCAAATGAGAGTGAACTCACAAAGGAGTTTAAAATTATGGAGATGTGTGAAAGGAAAGGGAATGGAAAAGCTGCCTGGGTAGATGATGCAGTGGAGAAGATTAAAAACTACCTGACCTTGTCTACAGTGGTGAACACTGCCAAGATGATTGATGAACTGCGGAAGACACTTGAGTTTAATGGAAATTTTCAGATTCTCAACGACCTAATAAAATATGTATGTAGGACACACATGGATATCTGGCTTATACTGAGTGCTCTTGTGGCTTCTGTGTTGGCAGGTGTGAATGGGGAACCTCTGCTTTTGTGTGTCTTAATTTTTAATTAAATCATACTGAACACAGTGGATGGAATTTTTCTTCTGGAATATAAATTCCACTGTTGTAGCAGTCTCTCTTTTAGCTTGGCACCTTTATACTGGAGTAAGTGGAGTCAGAAACATGATTCAGCTCACCCTTAATCAGACTCCTGGTTGTCCACAAATGAGGTCCCAGTGCCATTAGAGATGCCCAAAGGCATCTGAGGCAACTGTGTGAGGCCAATAGATGCAGGCATCTCTGTGTGTCAGCAAACAAATTCTGCATCAAGTGATTTGGAATAGACAGGGAAGTATTATCTTTCCCAACCTCCATGGAAAGTTTCTGGCAGGATCTGGAGTTAAAAACTCCAGGAGTTAAATAACAGATCCCAACCTAATATTCTCTACCAACTCCAGAAATTCTTCATTTGCTTTCCACATGTTCTTTTTTGCAGATCTCCAAGCCTCATTGCTCCAATCCTGTAAAAGCTAAAATGTTATATTGCCATGACCTTTCTCTTATAGTAGCAATGATGGGGCACTGCATGGGTAGCTCCCAAGGAGCAGCTGGGTGTTCTGTAACTTTTTGTACTTTGGATAGCTTTCCATGTTTTGGACAGGGTTCCCCAGAAATTTAAAATTGGAGCAGACCTTATAAATTTTGTGGAAAGGTCCTTTTACTGTTCAGGACTTCAGTGCAGATGTCAGACAAGTTTTATATCATGACTCTGTGCCTCTGCTGCAGGGACTTGTACTGAAATAACCAGACTGGGTTTATGAAATAGATTGGATGAGAGGAACAGAAGTTTCTGGGGAGCTAGCCCTTTGGAAAAGACCCTGAGTGGCTGATGAAACTTTGATGTGTGGGGTGGAGGCAGAGCTTACCTTCTGTCTTCTCTTACCAAGGGACACATATCAGTATGTCTTGGGTTTTTTTTGCAGGAAGAGCCAGAATTCAGGAATAAGAGACTTGATTATATGACCCAGGACTTGATGAAGGTGAAAAATAGTTTGAGCAACCTTCCAGAAGACATGCTGGACTTTTTGAGGGAACTTCTTGAATGCACAAGGAAAGGCTTTGTCTCCTGGATCAAAACCATAATAAAAGGTGAGTTGTACCAGGATGTAACAGAGTCATCAGATAAGAGAGGCAATAGAAAGGGATCAGTTAGTCCCTATCTGTCACAACAGCCAGAGGCATTGCATGAATCAATTATGTGAACTCCTCAGCTATGAGTCAACCATGAAACTCCTCAGCTATGTGTTTCATTTTTTGATTTTTCATTTGTCCTTTTTTTCCTAGACAAAACAGAAATCCCTGTATTTGTGGACCTGGCATCAATTTCTGCAGGTGAAAATGACATCGATATTGACAAAGTGCGGTTCTTCCGTGATGCCATGGCTGCTTCAGCACCCATTATATTTTACCTGAGCCCCACATCTGGATTTGAACAGTTCTCTGCAGCCCTGTCATTCATCAGTGAAGCCACTGCAAAAGACAATAATCTGCCCAAGAAGTTGGTGAGTCTACAAATCCCATGTTCCAAAATTACTTGGACTTGTACTAGAAGAATGAATTGCCAAAGTCTGGTGCCATACTTTAGGGGAGTTAAGACATCCAAGTGGGCATAGTGGATATGACATAAAACCTATGATAAATCCTTGCTATTTGGTACTGAAGTCCAGTTGGGACACCTTAAAAGACCTTACATGCCTATATGAGGGCAAGTGGAGGAGACCCATTAGGTGTCACATGCAGAAGAAAGTGAATCCAATGCTCTGTGTTTTAGGAGAGTCTAGTCTACCACTGTCTTGCATAATCCTCTCCACAGAAACTACAACATCCTACTCAGGGTACCATTTAACTGACACCCTTCCTCCAAATTGCCAAAGGCTGGCAGAGAACAGCAGCTTCACAAAAAACTTATTCACTGGCTTTGGCTTTCAGAAAGCTAAGATAGACGTAGATTTCGGTGCAACAGCTGTGCTTTGTCTCTTCAGGTGAAGCAGGGACAAGAAACCCCACTCTTACCAAAATTGTCCTTACAGGGCTGCCAACTGATTATTAGGTTTCATTCTGTTGTGTTGGGTTTTTTCTTTAACAGAAAGATTCTTGTAATAACAGAGACTGGATACAGATGGTTCATGACTCTCGTGGCTCCATAGAGTGTTCCTCAATCTCTCAAGCCAGAAACATCAACAGCAGAGGGATTTTTATCATCTCAGCACCTCAGAAATGCAAGGTAATGGTTCTCCACACTTTTAAGAGTGTTTTCCCGGGGGGTCATCATCTGCCCAAAGAAATTAACATTCTTGAAATCCATTTCCAAGGAGTATATCAGATAGCCAGTAGATCACTAGACAGATTTGAAAGCAGCACAACCTCATGTCACATTTTCCATTAAGCCTTGGTCATTTTCAAGGCAAAACAAGCTTTTTTTTGTCCCCAGGGAGGAGAGAAAGCAATATTTTAACACAAAAAAGAACTCATGTGGTCACTGAGAAAGTAAAAAAAGGAAAGGGAAAGATTTAAAATGAGAAGTGCTACCCCATTGTTCAAGTAGAGTGGTGCTTGCAGCATACCCTGAAAGAGTGAGCCCTGCACAATAGAAGAGGGAAGGAATGTTCCACATCTTAAGACATGGGAAAACTTGATGTTTGGCTGTGATATGCAGGGATGTACTACTGTTCTTGAAGGCCCATTGCACAAGGATGGGGAATTACACAGAGAAAAGGCAGAGTGGGGCTTATCCTCTTACCTGCTTTCCAGGCTGCCCTGGAGGACTGTGTTTCAGTGCAACTGCTGCAGGACACCACAGAGGAAGCATCTCAGACAGATCAGAATGCTAAAGAATACAGCCTGGCTCAGCTCACAGAGCTCCAGAACAAGCTTATGTTGATCACCACAAAAACTGAGCAAGGTAGAGAGGAGGCAAACCGCTTCCTGGAGGTAAGCCACAGTGCAACAACAATACGTGCTTGGAAAACAGTGTCCATAAGGCTTGGGTTTTTTTGCTAGAATTCTTTCATGGAGACTCATCCTTGACCTTCAGCTCTGACTTTTCAGGAGCAGAGGTAGCAGACTCCCAGATCTCATGTGTAAGGCAAATTATAAATACAGCCGTTCTCTTGCAAGGTGATGGTGGAGTGTGTAGAAGTCCAGCTCTCTGAGGTCTTGGCCTCACCTGCATGTTAATGATGTGGATATCTCCACCCATGCAAACCATCTAAGCTCCTGCTGTGGTGAATGAAGAGAAACAGGAAACTCCAGGGGTGTGATGGCGGTCACCCCAATGTGGGCACCCACCACAAGCCAGATGCTTCACATACCAAAAATGCCTTTTCCTTACTTCCTATACAAGCTGTTTATTCAGAAGGTGTTTGAAATGAGGTGTTCTCTTACATACCTGAGGAACCACCTCAACTGCATGCTGTCTGATCAATTGCAGTGCCTCAGTCAGAGATGAAGAAACCTGACAAGGGCCAAATATCTCAAAGGTGGTAATTCTGAGGGTTCAATACAGCTCATCATAATCTTTAGGGGTGGGGTTTGCTTGCTACCTGAGACAATGGAGCTGTCCGTCCTCTGTGGACCTCCTTCCCCCAGTAGACATGTGCTATTTACCTCGGAACCAGTATTTTTGAAGAGTAGTAGAAGTCTTCTAGGAAAACATGCACTTCTAGAGCACGTCCTTGGCCAAGGAATGTATCCTGAGAAGAAGCTATACATAAAAATTGAGCCAAATCTTTTTGTTGTTGTTGTTTAACAGGTTTTAATAGATCTGTGGAAGAAAATGTAATGTGAGAAGTATTCAGTAGTTGTTGAAAACACGTGATAATCCATTTCCCTGTTTTGTGTGTGGCATGTTACAGATCCTGGAAAAAGTTCAAATGGTTGGAAGGTTGTACTTGCAGCTTCTCAGTGTTGGAAATATCCTCTTCATAGACTGGAAGGCTGACATCTACTGCAATGCCCAACACAGAGTAAAAGTTTACACAGAATTTGGAATTGCTGGCATCCTTGTTCAGAGCACCAGACCTGTCCTGGAGGAGCTGGATGGCCTTTGCAAAGCAATGGAGCACTGCCTGGTAGAGTGGAAGAAATATCTGGAGACTCAGAGGGACACCTACTATCATCTCAACCTGTTCGCTGCACGCCAGCTCTTCTATTTATGTAGCAAACTGGCCGAAGCTCACAATAGTGTAATAGAGCCACAGATTCTTAATATGCTTTCTGTCATAAAGCATGACGTTAAAGCAGAAGATATTAGAAAAGCCCTGGAGCAAGCCCTCATGACACCAGTTGACCCTGTCAACACAGCAACAGGAGACAAGAAGTCTGTTACCTGGCATGACTATGTCATTCGTTTTCCCCAGCTCATCAAAAGCCTGGCTGAATCTGGCTATGATACATCAGTGGCAAAGGCAGCACTGCAGAGCTGCCTTCCGAACTCTGACATTACAGAGCAGAAGCTCATGAATTTTGCCTTTAAACGACGCAATGACAAGGAAGAGATTGAAAATCTGAGCAAATTATATGAGAAGCAGCGAGCAGCCTTCCTGCAGAAGTCAAGCAAGTTTTAAAAAAAGAACATAGATGTTGACCAGGCAACTTTTAGCACCCTTGCAAAAGATGAACTGGCCACTTCCTCTGAGAGTTTGCCATCCATCTGTGACAAGGTGAATCTGCTTACTGTAAGAAATTCACTGGCCTTGTGTCAGACAAATACATCAGCCTGGATGTCTTACGTGAAACACTGAAGCAATTAGCAGCTCTTGAAAAAACATGTGTCAAGAGAAGTTTACCAGTAGGCCTCGAAGCCAGCAAACCTTCTCTCATCACGTGTAAAGAAGAGGAAATGTTACTCTACATGCTCTCCATTTACAGACACACCAAGACAGCACCTCTCCCAACATATGATGAGGTCCTGGTGTGCACACACAACGCAGAGGAGGAAGAAGTGGAGCTGATTGTTAGGAGAGCTCTTTCATCTGATTCTCAAAACCAGAAAATCTACTGCTTGCTGGGTGCTAAGAAATTAGCATACAAAGTTTCCAAACAACTGGAGTCCCACTTCTTCCGCTTGCTGCAATCTTCTACAGTCCCTGACTATAGGTTCATTATCATTTGCAATGCCAAAGCTCACAATTCTTATGTTATCACAGCCTTTGACACCTACAAAGTTACTATCCCATGCTACTCTATGACAGAAATCCAGGCATACCTGAGCACGCATCTCAAAGTGCCTTGTGGGACAGCCCCTGTTGCTCAGGCCTTTGAAGAACCCTATCAGCAGAACATGAAGTTCATATTTTCAGATCAAGCAGGAATGGGTAGGTGTTAGTAGTCCTACTGTGAGTCATATCTCAAACCAGGAGGCCTTCAGAGGAATGTGGCACGCAATGGAGAGCCCTCCACTCTCCTCACATGCTTAGTTTTGGGTGGTGAATTTTAAGAAGGATTTTAGGCCATGTGGAAAGAATCCAAAGGGGAATGACAATGCAGTCTAGAAAACATGATCTCTGAGGGAGCTACAGTTGTCCAATCTAAAGAGTAATAAATAATGGTGTGAGACTCTAGGAAAGAGCAAGAAACAAGACTTTCTCCATGGGATAAACTAGGTCATAGGGATGGGAGTCAGTTGCCTAAATAAGCCCAGATGTCCTCTGAAAGACCATAGGCTAGCCTAGCTGGCCTCCACCTGCCATCCCAGAATGGAACAAATGTTCTGTAGGCCCTTTGCAAGCCTCAGCAGGATGTCTTATTCTTCCTACTATTTCTGAAACATTTCAAGACATGTCTCTTTAGACAGTAAGGTTTTTTGACATTTTGTAGGGCACATTTGAAGCAAGTTGGTCAGGATCCAGGCCTTCTGGCTATGTCTATATTGGTAACCTCAATGGGGCTGGAGTGGGGGCATGAGTTCTGTCTTGCAATGGGCCATACTGCTAAAATTGTGAGCACAGGTTTAGAGGATGTCCCTTGTGACTGGGATCTGGTCCCAGGTATTGTTCTAAAAAGGCTGTTGAGAGATGGCCACTCAGTTTGGAGTGAGTTCAGATGTCTGGAGAAAGACAGTCCCATGCATGTGAAAGGGCAGACTGACTCCGAGGGTGAATCTTGGCTGTCTCTTCTGTTCCTTAGGGAAGTCTCTCTTCGTGGACAATACCCTCAAAAAGATCCGTGCCCAGCCGGGTGATTTACCAGTGGTTCACAAAACTATTAGGCTAATGGAGTCAGAGATTGATTTCCAATTCCTTCTGGAGGACCTACTCTCTGTTGAGGAACTTCCGACTGAAGCTCAGCCAACTGTCTTCCATATCGATGTGTCACCAGTGGTGAGAGACTTTTTCTTGGTGGTTGAACATGGAGTGTCCAAGACCTCATAGGCTTTTTAGAGGAGGGTATTTTCACAGCCTCTTGTGCTGGCTTATTCTCATCTACAGTAGTAGCAGCAGGTGCTTAAAAGTTAAAGTGAACAACAAGAGTTCTGGGTACACTTTGGAAGCTCAGGTGCCAGCATTTGCCTTGTTCCATGCCCACAGGTGAGGAAGCTGTGTGAAATGGGTCCCATTTCATAAAAGCAATCTCTCTTCCTACAGTGGTATCAATCAGCATGTAGGGCACTGAAGGATGGCCAAATTCAAACCAAGTGATCAGACATAGAACCCCCATACACAGGGAGAAGAAGGGGTGGATTCTCCATCTCACATCCAGTCTGGTACCTCTCTGGAATGAGCTGTATTTAAACAAAAGGTAGTGGGCTTAGGGCAGAGGGTGAATCCAGATGACCTAGTCCTACCTCAGAAGGCTGCAGAGCACCAAGCATCTGATCATATTAACAGTTACAGCTGTCTCAGTGTGTGATAGAATAGCAATCCAGCACAAGAACAGAAGCAAAGCTGTAGCCTGGCTGCAGGTACTACTACCTGCCATGGGTAGTGGATTAAGTATTTTTTGGTAGACATTTCTTTCACCAGTTTTCTTCTTCCCTGTCAGGTGTCAACAGGTCTCTACCGGCTGCTGGTTGAGCTATGCATCCTAAGACACATCCAGAGTCCCAGTGGCTTAGTCTGGAAGTGCAAATCCTCTCATCTTTACTTGATTGAGTACCTGGCAAAAGGAAGAGGTCTTAGCAGAACAAGGAAACAAGAGGTATTGCTTTGGGGATAGTGTGCTCATGTCAGAGGAATAGTAAGGGAGGATGTTAACATAACTAGGTCTGCACCTGCAGTAAATCTGCCAAAATCCAAAGTCTCTTTTAAAGCTGCATGTAATTTTTGGGTCTGTCTCTCCACTGGAGTGATGGCTCATCTACGTAGAAACAAGCAGTCCCAGCATGTGTCTACTCTGGAAAGGAAATGTAAGATGCTGTGTGGGGTTTGGGTTTTTTTCCAATTCATTCCTAGTGTGACATAGACATCCCACATGTTCAAAAAATAATAGAAGTCTCCTATATGAGAAATGAAGGAGGACATTCTAAAAGAGGAAATTAGGGATGTGATGCAGAGTTAGAACATCCTGAGTGGCCTGGAGAGGGTGAATGGGGAGCAAGCATCCACCATCTCTTCCAACACAAGAACCAGGAGCATCAAACAATGTTAACAAGATCAGCTTAGAACAAATGGAAAGGGGGTGATTCTTCATGGTATGGGTCATAAACCTCTGAGGGTCCTTGCCAAAGGGGGCTGTGTGTGCCCCCTTTGACAGGTTGACACAGGTGCAAGGTGAGTCTGGCCAAGTATTTGGAAGGGAAAGCCATTTTGGCTTGCTAACTAAAGAAAGCAGATGAAAATGGAGAGTAGCCTGTGCTGAAACCTGTCTGTTTGGAATATCATTTTCTGGGTGGAAATAATCATGCTTGCTGTATTCTAGCTTTTCATTGGACATCAACTCAGCACCAGGACCTTACAGGTTATGGTCATGTCAGTACATATTCATCTAGGAGCATGCATGCAGGCTTGGACAAATTTGATCTACATATGATTTTCCCAGCTTCCTGACCTATTTGTGTGCAGAAAAAAAAGCTCTTGAACTGTAGGCAAATGCAGAAGGTTGGGCAACTGTCCTCATTGTAATCTGTGTACTCCTTATTGACTCTCTTTTAGATGTCCAGTGAAACAGAAGAAAAGTTCCTGGATCTTTTTCCTGCTGTGAAATGTGTCTCACCAATGCGTGTACTTGACTTGCTGGAACACCCCAGCTCTGGTCGTCTTTCTGAAATGAAAGAGGAGCAGTTTGACCGAGACAAGTTAAAGAGTGAAGCTTTCCAGAGGTCTTACCAGTACCTCAGCAGATATAAGAGGAAGAAAGACCTTGACCGTTTCCTTTTCATCCCTGAGAGGACTGAAGGGACAGAGGAAGAGTGCCTGAAGCTCTTACTGGAGTTCTGTGGGAGACACAACCCTTCCTGGACTGAGCTTAGCAACTTCACTCATTTCCTAAACTTCCAGCTAAGCAAGTGTGAGAAATCCGTTTTCTGTAGCTCAGCAGCTGGAGAGGATTTCCAGGGGTTTAAAACATTTGTGGTAAAGTTCATGATCACCATGTCCAAGGACTTTGCAGTGCCCTCTCTTGACATCTCTGATGAAAGTGTGCCAAGTGCAGAAAATGATGATGAGGAAAACAGCATTATAAGACAGTACCAGCTAAGACGAAAATGGGAACAAGAGTCCCACCCCTATATAGTCTTCCATGCAGACAATGACTCCATGGAGTTCTTGGGTTTCCACATCAGCAAGAACTTGGATGCTATCGATGCCCATTCTCAAGCTGTTTTAGAAAGGAATGTTATCACACATAAATTATACCGCACTTTGAAAGCCCAGCATGTTCCTTTCAATAAGAACTTTGAAGACTTGCCCAGAACAATGCAGCTGGAGGCCCTCTGCAGAGTTTTTGGTGTGAGCTACACCCAAGATCCAGATGAATCATATCAGCTGACACTGGACAACACCATGAAGATGCTTGCCATTCACCTGCGGTTCCAGTGTGGGATCCCTGTAATCATCATGGGTGAAACAGGTTGTGGGAAGACAAAGCTTGTGCAGTTCATGTGCAGCCTGCAAAGGGCAGGCAGGGACATTCAGAACATGGTGGTGGTACGTGTGCATGGTGGCACTACCTCCAAGACCATACACAAGAATGTTAGGCAGGCAATTGAGCTGGCACGCACCAATGAAGAAAGGCACAAAGTGGACACCGTACTCTTTTTTGATGAAGCCAACACATCAGAAGCTATCTTTGCAATCAAAGAGGTGCTGTGTGATCACAGTGTAAATGGAGAGAAGATTCTCACTGACCGTTTGAAAGTAGTAACTTCTTGCAACCCTTACAAAAGGCACACCATGGAAACTGTAGAGAAACTTGAAAAAGCTGGCTTGGGGTACCGAGTCTGGAGTGAAGACACACTGGAGAAACTAGGCTACATTCCTTTGCGGCAGCTGGTGTATCAGGTCAAGCCCCTGCCACCTAGCTTATTGCCTCTTGTCTGGGATTTTGGACAGCTGAATGAAAAGACACAGAGCCTGTACATCAGAGAGATTGTAAAGTCCACCATGAAGAACAAGATCACCATTGGAAATTTGGACGTCTTTACCAGTGTCATTTCAGCCTCCCAGAAGTTCCTCAGGAAGAAGAAGGATGAATGCAGGGTTGCCAGTCTTCGGGATATAGAGCGCTGCATGGGCATTGCACTCTGGTTTTATAAACTAAGAGACCTGCTGTTTCCTCAGATTGATAAGAAGAAGTACAAAAAGGAACAGAAGCCAATCTTAAATGATGCACAAAGGGCCTTGGTCCTTTCAGTGGGAGCTTGCTATTATGTATCTCTGGAGAGCCGCAAAGATTACCTGGAGGAGGTCGCGAAATGCTTTTCTGTCCCTGCATCCCTGCTGCAGCAAGAGATTGAGCTTTGCCAAGAGGTATTTCTTGATAACCTCTCTATTCCTGAGGCAACAGGCCGCAATGATGCTCTGAGGGAAAACATATTCATGTTAGTTATGTGCATGGACCTACGAGTTCCACTCTTTCTGGTTGGGAAGCCAGGAAGCTCAAAATCCCTGTCTAAAACCATTGCTGTGGATGCCATGGTGGGCAGGCTGTCCCAAAACCAGTTGTTCAAAAGATGCAAGGAGATCCAGCTGATGTCTTTTCAGTGCAGTCCCCATTCAAAGCCAGAAGGGATCATCTCCACTTTCCGACAATGTGCTCAGTTCCAGAAGGGGAAGAATCTGGATGAGTTGGCATCCGTGGTCCTCCTGGATGAGATTGGCCTTGCAGAAGACTCGCCAGAGATGCCACTGAAGACACTGCACCCTCTTCTTGAAGATGGTTGTGTTGATGATGAAACCCCAGAATCTTACCAAAAAGTTGGCTTTGTGGGCATTTCAAACTGGGCCCTAGACCCTGCCAAAATGAACAGGGGTCTTCTAGTATTACGGACTGACCCTAGCAAAGAAGAGCTAGTTAAAACTGCAAAGGGCATCTGTGCTGCACAGCCTCACTTTGAAAGCATTGAGGATTTGCTCCCTTTGCTGGCAGAATTCTACTGCAAGGTGCTAAAAACACAAAAGAATGAGTTCTTTGGGCTCCGTGATTTCTACAGCTTGATCAAAATGATACTGTCCTACACCCAAGACAAGAAGTGCAATTCTCAAAAGGACATCGTTATAAAGGCCATTCAGAGAAACTTTGGAGGCTCCAGTGATATTAATCCTGTCGAGCTCTTCCAAAACTGCATCAGTGAGGTGTATCTTCCCCCTGACTTGGAAACCAGCCACACACTTTGTTTGCTGAAGGAAAATATGGGCAAACAGGGGGCAGGACTCATGTCTCGATATCTCCTGCTGCTGACAACCAACCACGCAGCTTTCCACATCATCCAGATGACACAGCTTATAGATACTGAGCACTGTGAAATCATATTTGGCTCTGGTTTTCCACAGGACCAAGATTATTCCCAGGTATGCTGGTCTGTCAGCAGGGTGAAGATCTGCATGGAGACAGGCAGGCCTGTTGTTCTTTTAAATATACACAACCTTTATGAGAGCCTTTACGATGCACTCAACCAGTGCTTCGTTAGTCTGGGGGGAAATTACTATGTGGACCTGGGTCTTGGCACTCACAGAGTGAAAAGCCGTGTGAAGGATGAGTTCAGACTCATTGTGATAGAGGAGAAGAATGTAGTCTACACCCAGTTCCCCACCCCACTGCTGAACCGCCTGGAGAAGCACTGCTTGGACATGAACACCATTCTGAACCGGCAGCAGCAACAGCTGAAGCAGGACCTGCAGACCTGGGCCAGGATGTTTGTCTTCATTGACAGCAGCAAGTTCTCCAATGTTTGGTCCACCAGGCTGAACACCAAGGAACAGGATGTCTTCATCGGTTTCAGCAATGACACATCTGCAGCTGTTGCTTTGCAAAGCACTCAGAGTAGGTCCTGGGGAGACTTTGAGCCCTATGAAGAGCCAGTGTTCTCTATTGCCAAAAGGAAACTTGTTCAGGGTGCAACCCCTGACTCCATCCTGCGCCTTAAATACTCCCTTGTGGATGATGCTGAGCAGATCCAAGACTTGTACTTCCACAAGCAGAAGCACAACAGCCTTGTCAGTGTTTTGAGAGAGACAGCTAACTGGCAGCCAAGGAAAGAGAGGACTGCTGGGCTCTGTCTGCAGGTACGTGTGCTTCACTGTAAAGCAGTGAGAGTAGTCTTTGTTTTCCCAATGAGGGAGGTTGCAACACAACCTCCATTAAGCCACTGGATAATTTCCACTGTTGAACAGTGATGGGCTTCTACCTGTCCTCTTTGGCTCCTGCCCCATCAGTTGTATCACACATGTGCCTGGCTTCTGCCTTGTGGTCCTCTGCACTTAGGGTGGGCTCTGCTTCTCCTCTTGACCTGAATGTGGTGTATCTGCTAACAGACAGGCAGTGGGTGCCAGCTCCTAACTCTGAAGGCTCTGGAGGTTCAAGGCTAAGATAGCCAGGCCATCATTCATTGCCTGCAGACAAGTGACAAGCACCACTGGTGATGCTGTGGGGATCTCACCAAGCATCCAGCAGGACTTTAGGTGGTTCAGGCAATTCTGCAGATCCTGGGTCATGCCCACTGCCCATGTCATCTATTATCAGGAGTTGTCCATGCCAAAGAAAGCATCCTGATCAGTTCTCCACTGACCATCACAGGAGCTCAGGAACCTATGTTGCATACAGATACCTAAAAGGGTATCGGCTGAATCCCCAAACAGCATCTACAGTACTGGGAGCCCACAGCCTTGAGAGAGAGTCAGCCCAGTAGAGTCATGTGTGGGGACCATCGTGCTGGGTCCATAACATTGCATGGAAAGGCTTTTCCAGCCCTCAAGGTCTGAAGTGCTCATGTACATCTCCCAGCAGGATTCCTTTGGAGTCACTGCCTCACAGCATCTGAGTCATTGCTAAGGATGCATCTCAAGTCTAAGTCACTTGTAGCACTAGGAATCAGGGTTCTTCTGGTTGTTAACAGTGCTCCTACACTTCTTCCCTGTAAGCAGGGCACATTTCTGTGTCTTGCCTTTAGGAAGCACTTAAAAAAGTCCATAAGGGGATCACTTCAGTTTTCCCACCCATTAGGAATGGTAATACTACAATTATGATATTTCCCTGGAATTTATTTCCCTTTCACTGCAGGTTTCTACACATGCAAGACTTCTAAATGAGAGAGATTTAGAAGAGATAAAGAAGACACTTAACCTTCAAAATAAAATCCACTGCCTCTTTCTAAGCCAGTTTGACACCAAATACACTTTCTGCCAGGAACTCAGGTGAGGAGAGATTTCCTTCTCACCTTTGTTAATTTTATAGACTGGGGTTTTGGGGAAAGAGGGCAAGGGGGGAGTAGGGAGAGTGGAGAACAGAGGTGGTTTTATGAATAGAGCAATGACACACCCTTTCATTGTCTGCAGGAATTTTTTTGCACAATCATCAGAAGAGAAATTGCTCCTGATCCAGTTTCACTTTGATGAGCCACAGAGCAGCAAAAGGCTTCTAGCTTGTGCCAAGTAAACATCCTTCCTTCTTTCTTCTTTCCTTCTGTATTTCTTTAGTCAGGTGCAAAGGTAAGGGAGGATGCAGTGGCCAAATAGCCATGGGATACAGAATTGGTTTTAGTGACCTGTTCAGTGGAGTCATTGGAGATGTTCTCATATATCTTTATGTGTATATCTGTGTGGGTGGGCTCATGACTATGTTCTGTAGCTTAAATTTCCAAGCCTGTGTTTGTTAAGATATTAAGATAAAGCATCCCTAACATCTCAGCTTTCCTTTGTCTAAAAGAGCATCTTCTTCATTCTGGGAGCATGCTTTATACATCCTTCACACATTAAAACCACCTTCCCCTAGCATGACTGACTTACAGCACAAGGTACTCCAAACAGGGCCTAACACCAGATGACTTTTTTCTCTTTAGTCATCAAACCAAAGCACCTAAACTGACATCTGGTGCCATTTGAGACATCCTAGGGATCCAAGACACCTCTTAGGGCTGGCTGATAGGACACAGGACCTTCAGGAGACTTAAGCCCTTCTTGACACAAGTGAGGGCTGAAGTCATTGACATTATATGAGGTTATGAATATTGTCTGAGTAGCATTATATGAGGTTGGTCTCAAGCCCTTGAAGTAAATTAGTGACATCCTCCCCCAGCCAGACACATCCTCTCTCAATATAGTCCCTCTTACCCCTTTCCTCACTCTCCTGCATTTCCTGTTCATATCCTCTCTTCACCATCTCAGCTAATGTGCATGTTGTCTCCTGAAATGCTTTCTTCTGGGTGGATTTGTGCTTTTCTAGAGAGGGACTTGAACTTTTTTCGTCCTACTTCTAGGAAAGCTGTGCTGGGTTTTGGCCTGTTTCCCCGCAAGTCCTGGATTGGTCTGCGTTGTGGATTTTGTTGTCTAATATGTCTGTATGTTTGTGGCAGATATTGCTAATATTATTCCCGTGATTGCCAGAAGGAACATATGATTGGGCAGAGACCCATACATACAACAATACAAATTCAGATTAAAATAAAGATTCAGTATTCAGCAGAGAGGGAAATTTGTCATGAAAGAGTTTGCTGAGGTGTGTGACTTAGTCATTGTTTGGAGAGGGTGTAGGGGAGCTATGTGGGCATGAGTCTTGAAGTAGCCAGATCCAAACTGGCTCTTGGCCCAGCCAGGGCTCGGCTGAGCTGACCTTCTCTTTTCCCTTTCCATCGCTGCAGCACAGGCACACCTCAAGCTGTTAGTCTTTCCAAAAGCTCTACCTGAGCCCTGGAAAGGCAGGGGGTGGTTTTGGGAGACTCTCTGCCCAACTGACAAAGAGAATGGACTTTTTAGACTCCCTGTCCTGATTCTAGGTACTGTATCATAGATGAGAGAAGGAAATCAACAGGCACAGGCTCATCACATGTTGTGCTGGCCACTCAAGTCCCGCGAGTTCTGGGAGGCTGCGGCTACATGGCATTTGACGGTGGTAAGGCTGAAATTGCTATTTTGGATGAGGGTGAGAGTGGGAGGGAAAGGAGAGGTTATGCAAAGGCAAGAAGGAGGATCCAGAGAACTACAGACCAGATAGCCTCACACTGATCCCCGGAAAGATGATGCAGGAAATAATCCTGGAAACCTTTTCCAAACACATGAAAAGCAGCAAGTCAACATGGATTTATGAATGGGAAATCAAGTCTGACCAACCTGATACCCTTTATGATGAGATGACTGGCTTGGTGGATGAGGAGAGAATGGTGCATGGTGTTTATCTTGACTTTAGTAAGGCTTTTGACACTGTCTCCCATAACATCCTCACTGACAAACTAATGAAGTATGCACTAGATAAATGGACAGTGAATTGGACTGACAAGTAGCTGAGCTGCTGCGCTTAGGAGGTTTTGCTCAACAGCACGAAATCCAGCTGGTGGCCAGTCATTAGTGGTGTTACTTCAAGGATCGATACTGGGGTCAGTACCGTTTAACAACCTCTTTAATGACCTGGATGATAGGACAGGGTGTACCTTCAGTAAGTTTGCTGATGATACAAAACTGGGAGGAGTGATTGATACACTGGAGGGTTATGCTGCCATCCAAAGGGACCTGGACAGGCTGGACAAATGGGCTGACAGGAACCTCATGAAGTTCAACAGAGAGAAGTGCAAAGTCCTGCATCTGTTGAAAGACCAGTACAGGCTGGTCACTGACCAGCTGGAAAGCAGCTTCGTAGAGAAGGACCTGGTGGTGCTGTTGGACATCAAGTTTAACATGAGCTAGCAATGCGTCCTCGTGGCAAAGGCGGCCAACATAGCCTTTATTAGGCAGAGCACTGCCAGCAGGTCGAGGAAGGTGATCCTTCCCCTCTACTCAGCACTGGTGAGGCCACACCTCATCTCCTGTGTCCATTTCTGTGCTTCCCAATATAAAGAGACATGGACATACTGGAACAACCCTAGTGAAGGGCCACAAAGATGATTAAGGGACTGGAGCATCTTTCATATGAGGAGAGGCTGAGAGAGCTGAGACGGTTCAGCCTGGAGAAGAGAAGGCTCGTGGGATCTTATCACTGTGTATACATGCATGATGGGAGGGCATAAAGAAGAAGGAGCCAGATGCTTCGGTGGTGTCCCATGACAGGACAAGAGGCAATGGGCACAAACTGAAATACAAGAAATTCCATTCAAACATAAGAAAAAACTTCTTTAGGTTGAAGGTGGTCAAACACCTTTTGGGTTATAGCATCATTCTCTTCCTTAGTTAAAGGACAAGAATGACAGTTAGCGCATTTGTGCCCATTAGCACTGGGAAGATGGAGAGGAGGGGAACAGAATGATATAAGAGAAGCATGTCCTTCCTCAGAGCAAAAAGAAACAGGAGGTGGTAAATCTTCCATCTCTCAATATCTTATTATCCAGGCTGCTGGTAGGTCAGGGCAGCCAAAGTTTATTGATTTTTCTGGATGGGTGTGGTACACCAAGGAGAGCAGGTCAACTGTTCACAGCAGTTATGTCCGGTATTACTATTTCTGCCATGCTTACTGCCTCCCCAGGTGAATGGATGTCGATCCACTTGGATGATCTGATGCCCCCAGAAAACTTTACAGCCAATCTAGGCCATCTCGCCAAAATGACTGTTGCTGAGATTTTCATGACCACTTTCCAGGAGCATCTCCCAACAGGTAACCAGCCACTTGCTTTTCACCCACTACCTGCACAGCTCCATCCCTTCCTCTGTCCCATTTGCTCCTCCTACAGCTTTAAGTACAGCTAGATCAAGTGGTCCATGAAGGCACTGGCTCTGGGTCTCAGCAGGACTTCCTTCACTTGCTGTTTCTGAAGTCCTCACAGCATTGCATTTTTTTCCTCCTGTTCTGAAAGCTGTGACTGTAGGGTAGCAGGGTACCTAAGCTAGTCTTTCAGTTACAATAGCAAATTGGCTGTGCTGCTGTGGCATTCAGCATACAGTAGACACACTCTGATTCCCAGCAAGTCTTTCTGCCCACCTTGCCCAAATAAAACCACTAAATATTCATGATCTGGTGAGTTCAAAGCCAACTCAATACATCCTTTCCATTGTTTTCAGGATGTATGGACAAGGGGAGGCAGGAGCAGTTGGGGAGGAACTCCATTTCTTGTCCTTACACACCCACATTTCCTATGGGGTGCCAACCAAAACTGAGATCTGGTTATTGGGCAATTCTCCCCAGAGGGGACAAAGCCCAGGCTGAAATTTCTGAGATTGACAGCTTTGCAACCCTTCGTTGATTGTTGAGATACTCCAGATGCTTCATTTGGATAGAGGTATCTGTCTTTCAGGTTTCTACATTTTTTACAAAGGAGTCTTATGACTGATTGTGATTTCAGGTTCTCCAGAGGAATCTGCTGCTCTTGAAGATCCAGCCAAGTCTAGTCTTCTTCCAGAAGGAAATGTATGATTTTTTTTTTTCTTATTTCAGCTGCCTGACATTACACAGGGACTGGTTTAGGAAACAATAGCTTTCATAGGCATTTAGGGATCCAGTTATGCTGGTCCCTGGTTCAAATAGTACATTTACCACAGGAAAAAGTAGTTGCAGGTCTTTGTGAGTCACACAGTGAGGGTGAAGTTGTCCCCACCCTATGACAGACCAGCACAAGGTCAGAGTAGGCACATTTAAGCCTTTTGTGAACTTTAACAAAGCATGAAATCTCTTTCCCCATTTCTCCATCCCTTGCCAGGGCTTTTAGCACTTCTCTGCAATGTTGGGATTGATTTACTAGGGATGGTGTGGTGAAGTAGATACATACCTGCGAGTCCATTGTGTCAAGTTAAGTAGGAATTGACAGAGCAAATGCAATGGAGTGTTAGGCAATACACTGACCTCCAGTCTTTTCCATTCACAGCTCCTCAGCATGGACTCTATGATCAAACAGAGCATCCAGAAAGCTGTGATCCAGCTGGAGGACAAGGCTGGCAACAGTCGGCGTGCCACTGAGAGAATCATGATCATTCACAACTTGCTTTTCCAGGATCATAGTAGAACCATGTGTAAGTACAAACCAAGGCCCAGAGGGCTGGGCTTTTTCATTTACACATCGCTGCATCTTGCACATTGCAAACCATGGTACAGGGGGAACGAAATGAGTGGTTTAATGAACTATCCTGGTGCCGGTCTAGGCCAGCATGGGGGGAGGTCCCAAAGGAGAGAGGACTAGGTTTTCTCAGGGCCTCTTCTTCTCTCCATGCACCCCACGTTGTGCGTTCTCAGAATCTGTACTGAAATATCCAGCTTTTCACATGACCTTTGATGGAGACCTTGGCAGAACAATCTGAGGCAGAGGTCACTTTATACCACCATGACTATTTTGGAGTCCAAAGCCACCCAACTGATTTCTACACAGAATTGATACAAATTATTTGTGCAGGTGATGTGGTGTCTTGATAGAAAACTGTAGCTTCAGCAAAATGGAAAAGGTCTGGTTTCATCAGAAACCAAGCACCAAAATCCTTGTAGGTGCATTTGGAAATTATTCTTTCCTGCATATGGAAAGACTTTGTCACTATGGTGCATGACTTGCTCTTCTTTGAACAATAAGTTCCTGTCAGGTGCCTAGGATGTTTGTTAATGACTGAAAAAGAAAAGAGACCGTGTTGCCACTTAAAAGATGTGGTGGGTCTGGAAAGTCCTTGTGGTCACATGGCAAAACCAGAATTTAATCTGTACTAAATTTTGACTATAAGAAAATGTTCCTCAGGAAAAGGTGTTTTCTTGTGATTGCGTAGTGACACCTTCATTCCTCAGCACAATGCAGGATGAATTTTGCTTGTCGTTATATCAGTACTAAAATAGAAACAATCCCATCAATTTTATTTTATATTGATACCAGTGTCATACAGATAAGAATGGGATGTTAAACCTTCTGCAGCACTGTGACTATTCTTGTGACATACAATACTAAACATTTCTCTATATCAATATGAATATCAGAGTACTTATACACCAAAGAGCCTAATTATTTTTAAAAGACTGAGACAGAGAAGTGGATTTTCTTTCCTCCATCAAAAATGGCATGTCTTTACTAAATGTTGCCCCCAAAATCAACTCACTAGAAATAAAGAGGAAAGGGAAGAGACTAGAATATAAAGTCCCTGGATTTTATTGTGGAGGCAAACCAAGAACTTTCATGGAGGTCACTTTCTATGACTAGCTTTACTTCGACTGAAAACTTTGCATGGGAACCCCTTTCATTCAAATGTTTTCATAAACTTTTTTTTATTATTAGTTTATAGTCATTTTATGACTGTGCTGAAAAGGAGAATTTGCCACCTCCTACAAGAACGTGAGAAAATAAGCCTTGAACCAAGGGACTGGGTTTTCCGCAGAGCTGTCTCCAGTGAGTTCATCCTTGAAGACACTTCATTCAGGTACTTTTATCTGTGCAGCCCTTTCCAAATTTCTGACAGGTCTGTTTCTGAGTCTGTTAAAAGAGCTGTGGTGTGTGAAGCACAATACTTAATGGGGCTCAGATATGACAACCAGGAGGGATATTGCTATCTGGTATAGAGAAATAGATGTGAGTTTCTGATGAATAGAAGATTGGTCAGGTACAAGGAAGACACTTGACAGGCCATGTTATCACTTCTAGGCATGTACTCTGGATGCATTTAGAAGACATCGTGGCCAATTTATTTGCTCAAATTCTCTCAGTGGTGGATGCAAACAACAACCTGGATCATCTCTCTCCACTGTCTGCATTCTCAGAACTGTGGCTTCAGATGTTTAAAGAAGAATCCTTCTTGAGAATTAAATATACCAGCAAGTAAGAGACTTGGTGGAAAAATACAGTATGTACATTAGGAGAATAAAAACCTGCTTTCATAACGCAACCCTCTACAGAAGGAAATGATCAAACAACAAGTCTGAAGTTACAATAAGCTCACACAACTCATAACTTATCCATGATAAGTCCTTTGTGTTGTGACACTGGAATCAGAACTTTCCAGTTCTCTTAAACCTTCAGCAACCCAGGAACATTAGCAAGGAACTCCAGTTCCTTGGAATAGTGATTAACACATGGTAAAGTCAGAAACAATAGGTCCAGAGTTTAGAAACTTGAATTTGTGTTCCCTAAGGTCAGAGCTGATGAATCCCCTCCCCAGCATAAAATGCATTTAGTGTCCAACTATCACATTTTAATTGATCAGTCAGCTTACTCTGAACAGCAGCTGTGGTCAGAGACAAGACAAATGTTGTCCAACTCAGTTGCCTTTCCCCTGCTGCAGCCTTTTTTAGCCTTCAGCTCCCAGTGACAGGAACTTTTTCTCCTCCTGCCTTGTTTTCACTGCTGCTGAGTTTTTAACAAAATATCTTTCTCTTCTTTTTAACCTTTTAAGCAGAACATATACTAGTGGCAGTCAGAAATTTCTCTGTGATGCTTCAGTTCAGTACACATAGAGCATATTATGTGATTGTTTCATTCTGTGCTTTTTAAGGAAACGAGATGCTAAGATTTCTGTGTTGTCAATGACTAAAGACCCCAACACATCTGTGTTTTGCCAGTTCCCATTCAGTTGGGTTTTGAAGGCCTACCTGGAGAAGCTGTGGGAGAGAGTCTATAATATGAAAGGTAACATCAGACTTTTCAAGCAGGTATTGTTCTTTAACCCAGGGAAGCTGATCTCCAAAGTTTCCCGCAATAGCCAGAGTTGTGGTAGGAGCAACCATGGCAGTTCTGTTCCCCACACAACCATAATGACTCAGAACATCTGTTGTGCACTCCTGTTTTCCTGTCAACTTCTATTTTCTGGGTACCTGACATCTCTGTCCTTTCCTCTAGGTCATCCAAAAGTGCCTATGAAGGAACCAGCCAAATTGTTCCAAACGCTGATCAAGGACGTGTTGATGCCAGATGGCAGTAATTCAGAGATGATGCAGTGTTACACAAATGACTTTCTAAGAATGACTTTTCCTGGGCAAGATCTTTCTGTCTATGAGGTAAATGGGGTTTGGTGGAGTACAGGCTTTAAATGACACTGGCTTGAGTCACAGGGCTACAGATATCTATGGTTCTAAGAACAGGGGGAAAAAAATAGCTTCTCATGTTCTGCACACTTCCCAGCAACTGTTGGTGCTCAGTCTTAATTCCACCTTAAGAAAAGTTTTTTTGATGTAGAAACTTGAGTGAACTGCTTCAGCAATGCTGAATGTCATCCTCAGTCCCCTGTTGTTTGTTTGGAACAGAAATAACACCTTTTATTTTATCCACAGATTCTGTCAAAGGCTCTCCTAGTCAATGCGAAACAGCTCTGCTCTTCTGTGGGGCAGGAGATAAGTTTTTTCCCCATTTGGCTTCATATAGAATATTTCTACCTACGAGAGGAATATCAACTCTTTGTTGACTTGGTAAAAAGTGATGAGACTGTAACAAGCGAGCTGCAAAAGATGTACGAGAAGGACCCACCAGAAACGGTGAGCAAAAGGGAACAGCTGGTGTTTCACAGAGCAAAGTGGCACAGCCTGTTTCTAACAATGGTCACTAGCAAATACTCAGTGAAAGTGTGTAAGAAAAGAGTCAAGTCTTCAGGAGATATTTCCTTGGAAGTGTTTTCCAGCTTCCAGTAAGTCTTAGGGAGTTTCTGAGCTACTGATCATATCCAGCTCATTCCCTACCAAAGGACCTGTCCTTCATCCTCCTCTACCCATTTTTTTTAATTACATTTATACTTTTCGGTCTTCAAAACTTCTATAATTTAATCTGCACTATGTAGAAAAATATTACACAACCTTTTGCTTGTGTTCTGGGTATGACATTGATCTCTTCTTAGACACTCAGACCTTATAGATGATGGTCATAGTACTTAACTTCTGGGGTGGGGTCCAAGTCTAGATTCAGACACTGTAGGTTACATGTCTACAGGGATGTGTCTGCATTTGCAATGGTTGTCTGATCTCCTGTGATTGCTAGTGAAAACATGAGCTACAGAGACAGCGGAGAGTGACTCACTACTGAAGGGAGAGGTGCAGTTCAGTTGCCTACAAGTAGGCATCTACCGACATTTCAGATGCTGTTTGGCCTCCAGCTCCTGCTGCAGTAGGGCATGAGTCTCCTGTAGGTCCTATGCCCTATCTGCTGGCTCTGTACAGATGTCTCAGACATCCAAAGGCATTTCAGCTGACAGCAGAGACCTACAATCGAGCAGCTGGATCACACCTAAATATCTAAGTCTTTCCAAAGAACAATTCATTCAACAATCTTAAACATCTCTCTGTGAAATGGAAGAACTGTTCTTTGGAAATACCTATTTCTCCTTCCTGAATGTCAAGGGGACTGAAGGCAACAAGTTTAGAAGCTTAGAGCTGAAAGTTTCCCTGTGGAAGGAAACCAGTGGTCTGGTTCACGTATTTAAAGAGTATTCAAGACGCAAGTGCAACATAGAGTTACACTATGGTACAATTATGGTTTCTGTACTGTTCTCACTTCCCTACCTAATAAATTTCTGCTATGGTATTTGTTGCCATGTGCACCAAGCTAAGGTTTTCAGAGAATTCCCCATCACAGACTCCAAAGCTTTTTTATTCACCAGGGTCCAATGGGGCTAGGTCAGCTATAAAGGCTATGTTTTTCTTCTCTCTTTTCAAATACAGTTTCAGTTTGTCACTCCTGACACCTTGAACATTCTCCTGAAGAAGGTGCAGCCCACAGATAATCTTCTGTCATTTGAGGCCTGTACAGAATGGCTTAGAAGGGTCAAGTCCATTAAGCCCTGGATGGAGTGGATCAGTATGGACAATTACCAGATTCATCTTTGCCAGAAGAAAAGGGAACTCCTGAGGAGTGTGTTGTAAGTCTGACCCTTGTCAACAGCCTTATCTTCGTCTTTCAAGTAACAGGTCCTCTTTCAGACAAGCCAAAATTTTTTCCTTCAAATTGTTGGCATCTGTTTTCCAAATGATTCTGCCAGCTCTCACCAAAAGATTTGAAAACTACAATGCTTGAAGGTTAAAAATACAGTCTGTGGAGAAGGATTGCTCATTGCCTACCCTTTTTCCCTGGAGCTCCTAATCCGGTGTTTCAGTGAATTCAAAAACTTCAGACAAATATATGGGGCCGTATCTCACCTCTTCCATGAGCTAGGTGTCTACACTGTGAGCTTAATCCATCCTTTCCTTGGGAAGCCATAGTAATTAGTTTAAGAACCTTGATCTCTGAAACTGTTGTCTCCTTCCTAATCCTTTGCTCGTTCTGTTGTCTGATTATCACAAAAACATTCGCAAAATCACCCCAAAAAGTTGTGTTAAGAACTCTTCATTTTGGTCATGGTCATGCACCCATCATTCCTTGACAATAAGACCTGTTTCCCTGAACATCTGACTGTATGCTTGATCATGCCCAGGATGCTTGCTGTAATAGAGTAGGTATCTACATAGACAAAACCCAGTAAAGATTCAATAACTCAGTTTGGTCTGGGGACACTCCAACAAGTGACGTAGACAGGACGATGCTGTATTTTTCTCTCCTTGCTTAGTCTAGTCCTCCAAAGCCAGCCCAGGAGTTCTTGTGTCCTCAGATCATCTCACAGTACCTGGGACCTGTCACAGAAATCTTGATTGGAAGGGACCTCAGAGGTCTGTAGGCCAGCCTCCCATTTAAAATTGCACCATTGCCAACAGTAGAGTAGGTCAGCTGTGGCTTTCTCTGGCAAGTCTTGAAGCTTTGTTCAACATCCATGTGTGTGTGCTTTCCAGACACCAGTGGACCTGCACCAACATTGTCTACATGTTCTTTGACCACCTGCTGCACAACGAGACACAAATAGATGAGAAGCTTCTGAGAATTCTTGTGAAGCAGTTCATCTTCACCTGGAATGTATGTGCTCATGTAGTGCTTGCCTGGACAATTTATAGCCTTGGAGACCAGCAGAGTTTGGAAGGAGCCTTATCTTCCAGGGATTCCTCTGATGCCAGCTTGAGGGAGGGCATAGAAATGGGAAGAGGGTGGAAACACCATCCAGTGCAAAAAAACCACTGAGATTTCAGACTCATCATGATAGCCCCACAAAATCGGAATTTTATTTAAAGGAAGGTTTCCTTGAAAGCTTAAGACATATTTCAGGCCAATTATTCCTGGCATTACATGAGGAAAGATACGTGGTGGGTCTGTTTGATTCTGGTGTTTTTTAATGTAATTTTGTGGTGCTGACATCCCATATGGTTCCTCTTTCATATGCCAAGAAGATATTTCCATTGAGCTTTCACCACTCTTTCTTTCCTACAGTGCCTGACTGAAACACAAAATTTTGAGCCAGCAGAAACTTTTGAGTTGGTGACAGAAGTACTCAAGATATGCAACCAAAATGCTGACACTGTGTACCTTGTGTAAGTCCAAGTCAAAAAAAAAAAAAAAAATCTGTTCTGGGGACATTTTACATCAAAACCATTTTTTCTAAGGGGTGGGGCAAGATTGTCACTAGTCAATGGGGATGAATCTCCTCAGGCCAAAGGATTCCTCCTGGAGACTCCTAATGCCCAACCTCAGAAGGCCATGGAGCAAAGTCTTTCCTATGCAGTGGTGTGCCTGGCTGATGACAGAGACAACCTGGAATTGAATGCAGTGTAATTGATGTAGGTATTCACAGGCCTAATGAGGCTGTGAATAACACCCACCCCCCTCACCCAGCCATGCTTAGCATGATGGGCCACATTTCTTAGATGGGATGGTCCTTGGTGGAGCCACCCCCTTATTAAACTAGCAGGTGTTGCCCTTATTCTCTGCTCACCAGTAAGGCTAGTTAAAAATGACCATCCAGTTTTGATGCCCACAGCAAAAGTTGGGCATGAGAATCCCATGACCACCCTCAGGTCTGGCACCAGTGTAAAATCAGTCCTGAGTTGTGTCTTCCTTTGGTGGCATCTTTCAGGAAGGGTGTGAAGGACTGCAAGAGCTGTCTACTTGAGATCACTGACCCAGCAGAGCTGCCCTGTGGCCACATTTTCTGCTCACAGTGCATCTGTGAGTGGAGAAGCAAACAGTGTAAGATCTGCAAGGCTAACTTCCCGGAGGACTACACACCCACAGCTACAGCGGCCACAAGGTATCCTGTAACTAGTAAAACAACTGGTTTTGTTGTTTCAGTCTCTATCACTTTGTATAAAATACTGGAATAGTTACCAGAGCAGAGGCTACACAAGTGGTATTAACACGTGATCTCCATGGAAATGTCAGTATCTACCATGTGTAGCAAACTCTTGGTGGTGAAAGGATTCATGTGAAGTGATTTGGGGTCAGTTCCAGCACTTCTACCTCCATCTCAACAGGCAGTCTATCCAGGCATACATCCTACATGAGAGTCCATTTGTCTTTGTTCTCTAGCTATCTTGAGTGGAGATAGGAGAGAGGGAGAGTACAGGGAAGAAGAAAGTTTGTCCTTGGTATTCAAGAAAAAATGTTATAGTGGGTTTTCTGGGGGTTAACTCCCCTCTCTATTTAAAAAGCTTATTTATTCCCCACAGTCTAGGTGTACCTGGTCTCCTGGTTGCATTCAGAGAAGCAGAAAACAGAAGTTGTTTCTTTGCTTTGTTGGATTTTGATGGTAGATCTTGATTTTATTCCTCCTTACAGGGAAGCTGTTGCATGTCATAACAAATTCAGGAGGAAATGTAACTCCTTCTTTGTGGAGTTTGTTACCACCTGTATCTTGGGAGACAGAGGCACACCATCCCCAGAAGTCATCACTCGGCTGACCCAATTTGTGGCCTGCAAGCCATCCAGCCCTGAGCACCAGGCAGTAAAAAGGGGTAAGAGCCTAATTTCACTGGGACCCTGACCCGATCTTGTACTGAAAAAAAATAATGAATGTCATCCTTCATTTTTAGTGTGCAAGTCAAAAAGTGAGCTGTCACCCTTTGAAGAGTGCATGGACACCAGTCCAACAATCAAGTCCTCCCTCTTGAAACTGCTCCTACGACATGGGTTAGCATGAGCTAGCTCCTAGCCTGATCACTGACCCACACGGGCTACATGGATGCTCACATCCTGTCTTTTTTTGCCATAGGTTCAACAACATAAAGGTTCACCTGGAAACATACCTTTCTGAGATGGAGGAAAAGATAACCATCAACAAAAGCAACTGGAACCATTTCTACTTCATGGTGGTGCATTGTCTGGAGGTAGGTGCAAATATCTTGAGGTGTTCCTGGAATTCACACTCAAACTAACATTCATTTTCTGTCCTGCCCTTTGCAGATCACACTCTTCGTCTCTCTTTCCCCCCACTGGCTCCTGAGGGTGTCTGGAACAGGCTGCTGACCTGCCTTGCTTATATGCCTAAGCGTAGTCTGGAAGAATCCAGGCCTGAGTTAATAAGGTCCAATGTACAGTCTGAATTTTGGAGCTGGAGCTCCTGGAGTCCAGGGGTGCCCATGGCCTGATTTGTAAGCCATGACAGCCTCCCTTGAGCACAGCTGATACTCTGAACAGAACTGTCCCTGGTCTCTGGTCCGTTTTGAACCGGTACACCACAGATGTGCACAAGCACATCTGTTCAACATGTGATTCTCCACCAAGTGAATCAAGAAAGGAGGCAGTCCTGTCCTGCCAGAGAAGCAGAGTTGGGGCTACCCTCAAAGGTGGTGAAAAACAGTACACCTGCAAAGCAGGTCATTGCTGGGGACTTGAAATTCACAGGGTACAACATCACAGCAGAAATGAGCTCTGTACCTGGTGAAAAGGCTTAGGAATGAAGAGGGGACTATCCAGAATCTATGGCAGCTTTGGACTCTTAACGTTCCCTCTGTCTTTCCGTTGAACAGGATTTTATGTATCCTTCGCAAGATGATGTCAACCAGCTTGCTGAAAGCTGCCTCTCTACTGCAGACCTTTCTGCTTTCTGCTCACCCAAGGCCTCAAAAATTGACACCCTCCAGTTCATAGCCTGTCTCCGGTTCTCCATCAGCCACGTGGCCACTGTGCTTGGCAGACAGGTCCTCTGTGGTGAGTCATTCTGCTAGCTGCAGAGAGCATGAGAGTTGTGTTTCCTCATAAGCAGGTTTAGAACAAGGCAAACATTCACTATTATAGGAGGTTTCTGAAGGAAAAAAAAAGGAAAAAAAAAAGAAGAAAAAAAAAGACGAAGTTTTGTCTAAATTTAGGGGGTTTAACAGATGAATTTTCAAGAGGTGATTCAGGATCAGAAGGGCTAATTTATTTCCTTTAAATCTACATAATTTTTAATCCTCTTATTCTGACATTATAAAACTATTTTTTGGCAAGATTGAAACTGAATGGGGTTAAGGTAGCTAAATTTTGTATATAAATACGTTGCATCCAAAGATGTGTATGTTGCACCCAAAATGTATACATTACCTAGAACTTGTTGATTTCCTCTGAAACCATTTTCATTTTTCTGGATTATTTTCTCAGTATTAAAATATCCAGGTTTTGTTCAGAGTTGAAAGAAACTTACCTGAATATTGGCATTTCCCCTGAATAAATAGTTCACCAGACTTAAGGAGTGGTGTGCAGCAGTGTATAATAATTTAAGTGTATACAGGTAGGTGCATGTGCTGGCACTCTGTTCTCCCATTAGTCTGTTGAGAATGACAGGCAGAGTCAATGGAGTTCACACTGAACATGTGTGAGTCTCCTGGTTGAGAAGCGGATGTATTGCATTTTAGACTCTGTTGAGTCACTTTCTTACATCTTTGTCAGCTTTGAAGAGTGTCCAAGTAAAGTCTGAGTGACAAGACCAACACAATCTTACCTCAACCCTTATAATCAACGGAGATACAGGAGACCCTTTATAAGGCCAAGATGTAAAATAGGCCAGATAATTCCCACTTCTCTCAGCTACCTAGGACAGAGCCATGAGATTGCTCTCTACCTTCTGGACAGCCTTTGAGAGCTTTCCTCTCTGATTTAAGATAGAGGCTAGAGAAGATTACCCAACCAAGATCCTGTAAGGACCAAAAATGGGAAAACAGTGGGCCATTCAGTCCCCATATTCACTGCCTAGTATTCAACTTCCCTGCATGCTGTAAGTATTAAGAAGCCCAGGATACTATGGTTGCAGGCCATATTTCTACTCTTGGGGGAAAAGTGTTATTGAAACCTAAGCAGGTGGTGTGTTTGCAAAAAGGATCTATGATATACAACTGCATGGGAGTGAGTCTAATAAGAAATCTCACTGGTAGCTGCAGATCCAAACATACTGTCTCCTGGTGGGAACAAGCAAGAGGAGCAAGACCTGGTGAATGCAATGAAGAAGCTGGTGGCAAATGCACAGACACCATGGCCTCAAATATTCCTCATTAGAAATCTCTATAACAACTATGGGTTCATCCCAATGCAGAAGATTCTTCAGGCAGAAAAATGGATTTTACCCAGAGGGGTTGAAAATTCACAGGTAAGCATCTTCTAAAAGCCCATCTACAGGTCACTGAAGTTGTGCCACTAAAGCACATAGATGCACCCAGGCTTTTCTTTGCAGCCAGCTCTGAGGGTGTACAGCTGGCTAACTGGAGCCCTGCCTGTTGAAATACATCTTGTATTGTAGCCTGTGTGCCTTATTAGAGCCGATGGGATAGGAAACACCCAACTTAAGTCACAAAAAATTTCTTCTTGGGGGCTTTCTTCCAGTCTGGGGAGAGACATAAGCTCCTCTAGAGAACAATTCATCCCTATACCTGCTTAGCATGTGACTGTTCTCCTGGAGGGACCTATTTTTGTATTTGGAAGATTGCAGAAATGAAACCATTGCACAGTAAAATTCAGGCAGAACAGATTTCAGAGCCCATATCTCTACAGCACCCCAAGCTTGCCCCCATGATAAAAATACACGTTTTTAAAAGATGCAAAACCAGTTTGTAATATTCACAACACAAAAATAGCATGATCATTTGTGAGGGGTCTATCTGAATGCTTCAGTGGGCTTGAGATAGCCTTCTACATGCTAGTGGTATCTTCATTACCATAACGTAACTTCCATCTGTGTTTCATAGCATATGGGTGCCTGCTCAAATATAACACTGATGCTTTCGGTGCTGGACAGAGCAGAAAATCAAATAAAGAACAAAAATCCCAAGGAAACCCAGGGACTGATTGTGAGTATCCAAGTATCCATTGTATCTCCTACAGAAGATTTCTATGCGGTGTTTGTAGAAAGCTATGAGAATTTCCTCCTGAGTTGGAGGCAAAAGGATCATCACATTTATCTAAACCACCACTTTTGAAGCCTCCCAGTGGGCCCCTCATCAAGAGGTGTCTTATGGATCTCCTTAGATTCCATCTGGTTTGTTCAATTTCTTTCCTAGCCTGTCATAAGACAAATGGAAAACATCCTCTAAACAGCGTTGCTCCCCGAAGAGCCTCTGGAAAACAAGATGAAGAAGATCGTGGATGCTCTGTGCAGACACAAAAACAAGGTCTTGATGGAGGTGGTGTTTCACACTGCACTTACTCTGGCCCTATCCCAAAGTCCTCTCGCTCAACTTTTCAGAAATATCTGCTTTAAGCCTCATGTGGTGAAGGTAAGTCAAGATGTAGGGGTACAGATACTTCTCTTCATGACAATACTGTCAGGGTGGGACCTGCTTTTATACAACCAGCTCTGTCAGCTTACAGCCAGATTTGGTTTGGGTCAGTTTGCAGCTTTCTGGGTTGTTGCAAACACCATATGGAGCCTTCTAGTTCTTCTGCTTCCTTCCGGACAGTCCACTGAGAGCAAACTGAGACTGTCCATCACTATCCGTATTAAAAGTGGAGGATGCAGCCTGCTGAAGATGCCCATCTCTTTCCAGTAAGTCTAAGGGAGCCTGAGGGTCTGCCAAGTATTAGTTGTTGACTGAGCTTATACGACTCAAATCCTAACCCAAACTTCTTCACTCTGACCACAAATATGCCAGCTGTCAGGTAAAGATAAACTTTTTACTAGACTAGGCCCTCCCTTGCATCTATGATGCATAAATTGTTCCTGTTATTTGAGAAGTGCAGAAAGCAATTGAGACGTGCATTGCCCATCTCTTGGCTGTGAAGACAATGGCAGTGTCCAGATCCTGCTCCTTCCCTCTGAATCCTCAGTTTGGTAGGCAGATACCAAAGAAGTGATGAAGATGCTAACTTGGGCATCGCTGTTCTTGTAAGCCCAGCCATCCTCAATGCATCTCCAGTTGATGTAATGCTGTGTCCCTTGGTCCATGTCTCAGTCAAGCTTTCATGTACCCATTTGCACCTAATGTGTTTATCTCAAGAACTGTTATTTCTCCAGTAGATGAGAAGCAAACTAGGAAAATGGTTACATAGTTCCTCAAATCCTTCTTTACACCAGTGTTTTCTTTCTAAGGGGTCCTACCTTCCCACCATGCCTGGAGACCTGCTTTTTGACCAGAAGAACTGGAAAATTGGTCAATATGATACATCTTGGAGTAAGTGCTGGGGAAATTTTACCTCAGTCCAGCCCAGCTGCTCCTATGTGGATGGCAGACACAGGGAACTTGCTATAAATGTGCCCTGAGACAGACTGGCCAGAGGATGGAGGGAAAGGGGGAACAGGTGGATGGAGGGAAGGGTGGCTTTCTTTAAGGCTACCTCTGTGCTTCTGTTGAGTACTTTACCAACTTCCTTTTGGCTGCAGCAACCTCAGGTCCATTTATGGCAAACTCTGTGAGACCAGATCCCAACAGATGGGAAGAAGGTCTTACTTGAAAAAAGTCTGGGCTGTTGCCCTCCTAGTGAAATCTGGCTGTGCTTTTATCATGGAAGATTTTGTAATTGGGAGAAAATTGACTGATTAATCTAATTCCCTTTCATACACAGCTTGTCAGTGTGGCACATACTGGATTGTCACCAATGTAAGTGTCTTTTGGCTTTTTGTGATGCTGAAGGTCTTCTGTATGCTGTTAGGTTTTCTGCCCTACATCTTACACTGCTGTTATTTCTTTACCTACAGTGTGGGTGTCCTGGGGAAGTCAAACAATGCCCATGTGGTGCTGAAGTTGGAGGAATTAATCACAAACCTGAGAAAGGTTTTGTGAGGAAGGAAATGTAAGTTGATGCTCCCTGCCCTACAGCCGAAGACTGATGAACAGGGCTGTGGCCACTTGACCCTCTTTCCATTCTCCAGGCACAGGAGAAACACTGTAGCTGACTAAAGCAGGGTCTTTGTGACCCAGGGTCCAATTGCAGGAGGAAATTTTGGACATACCTACTGGGGGAACAGAAATGAAAGAAAGCGTAAGTGGCATGAAACAGCTGGAAAGGGCATTTCTTCAGCAGCAGTTCACCCCTTCCAAAAGTTTCATCTCACCCCAAGTTCACATTTGTTCTGACCCAGTGATGGCCAAGCCTCTGTCAATCTTAACTTACATAAGAGGAGCCCAGTCATTGAGAGTGTAAATTGAATTACATTCCTTATCACAGCACAGAGGATAAAACAGGAAAAGGATACATCCTTGGGAGCCCTTCAATACGGACAAATGAATTGGAGAGAGACCTGTCGCCTGCCTCTGTCTGTCTTGCAAGAGCTCTGCTGCCTTCATCCATGCTGCTGGGAATCTATACAGATAAACAGGTGAGACAGCTCCTACTTCTTTTCTCTCCCTTACCTCCTGTCTGTCTGAAGCCTGCAGCTTCCACATGATGAATAACTTCTGCCCTACCCTGGGAGTAAGCTTTCTTCAGAGCTAAATTAAGAAACCACCCTGTCTTCCAGGCAATTCTGAGTCTGATGGCAGAGAAGCCAAAGGATGTGGCAAAATTCTTCTGGGACCATCTTGAAAAAGATATTGAATGCCTGGCAGAGGCACTTAGCAGAAACACGGAGGATGCCACAGTGACTGTCCATCTGTTTCTCCAGCACTTGAACAACCGTACAACAACTGAAGGTACATTCCATGCATAGGGAGGGTACCAGCAGGCTTACATCACGTTGGTTTTCACACAGCCACTGGAAGTGGTGGTTCTCATCCCATGAGTGCAGCTGTTCTGCACAGACTCCAGTGTCTACTGGGTGAGGGTCCTTATTTTGCTTTGCATTTCCTACAGGACAAAACACGGCCTTGAATATTTTGCTTAGGCAAGAAGACCGAAGACAGTGGGAAACCTGCTTTAAAACCCTGACTCAGCCATTCTTCCAGGTATGCAAGGGACTGGTCACTGAGTTTCCAGGTATCCCATGTACAAACTACCACTTTGCTAGGGATCAAGTGCAGAGCCCACATGGGCTCTGGTGAATACCCAGACACATCCAATGAACTGGGACATTCCCACACACAATAAACAGGTTTATCACCTCTTTTTTAAGATACTTTTTCTATGCTGATGCAAATCCCCATTACAAAAAATGGCTCTATGCCTTGGAGGGCAAGAAAATTCCCTGTTGATTTCTTCTTAGGCAATTTTGTTCTTGTCCCAGCTTCATTCTTCAACAGGAAGTTTTTACTGTCTCTTCCCTTTCTTCAGAGCCACCATTGTCTTCCCTCATGAGAAGACTTGTAAGTCCTCCCAAACCCTTTTGTAACAAAAGGCAGCTCCTAACAGCCCTTCAAATTCTGCAGGCCTTGGAGCAGAGCCTTACTTCTGTCAAGCAGCAGAGGATGAGAGATCCTCAGGGCTCCAACCTGCTCCTACAAATAGCTTATGGCCAGATGACTCCTTTCAAAGACCAGCCAAACCTTGGACTGATTGGCGTGTCCTACATGTGGAGATTTGAACAGAAGACATCCATCCAGACTTTGATGCATCTCCTTCAGCAAGAACACAGAGAGGGTGAAGGAAACCCCTACCCTGTTCTTCTGGAGCTCATGTCTAAGGTTTGCTGTAGAATCATTCCTCCCCTTCAAAGCAGAGACAGGCACCATTGTTGGTGTCAGTGGGGCACCAAGTTGACTCATTTCCCTGTATTTCCCAGTACAGTGCCCTTCTCCTGAATACCACACAATGCCAGACACAATCCTGGTTCCTCAGATAAGTGCAAGGATAGCAAAGTCATGCTGAATTTTCCCTTCCAGCTCCAAAACATCCAGCATGTCCAACACCTGCCTGACATTTTCAGTCTGCAGAAAGCTCTGATCCACTTCTTCCAGAACAGCCATGGAGGGGAAATGTACTCAGTACAACAGTTTCTAGACCAACATGGTTCAGGTATGACACGGACCTATTCCGATCCCAGTAAACTGGCCTCTACCACTCCTCAACACCCACAGATTCTGCTCTAATGTTACAGCAGGACCTGTGATTTCTGTTGCAAGCTGTGAGGGAGCAGAAAACACAAGACTGCTCCATGAGGGAAGATGAGCCAAGAGCTAAGGGTGACCATAGCAGTGAGCAGGGTGCAGTCCCACAGTATTGGGGCAAGACAAGGGTAGTGATAGAGCCAGTTTCTGTCAACAGACAAGGGATCACACCACCAGGGAAGGTAATAAGACCAGGAGGAGTCTAGGAAGGCCAGCCAATAAGTTATGAGAGCAGGACACAGGGCTGCTTACAACTCAGGCACTGCCCTGAGCTTTCATGTGTCTCCTGGGCCCATGGGGAAGGGGTGAGGCAGAGCCCCCAGGTCAGGCTGCTCAGAGCTATTAAGGCCTATTAGTGCCCTCAGGGCCCTGACACAAGTTCACAGTGGTGACTTTTTCAGTCATCTCCATCTTTATGGCCATCTTTGGGGTTTGGGGGAGAGGGTAGAGATCTCTGAGACACTTGAATGACCTCTGAAACATTGGAATGGGTCTTGAGCAGATTGCCTCCCACCCTCAGAGTAAGTATAGCCAGCAGGACTTGAGAAACTTGTAGAGACTTTTCCTGATGTTTCACCTATGAATGGGCAATGTACACAAGACAGGTTTTTAAGACTGTAAGCAGGTGTATTAGCACGGTGCATGTGAGCTGGAATTCGGCACCTGGCATTCTTAATGCCAGATATGGTATAATATGGGCTAGAAAAAAATTAACTCTGGTTAAGCTTGGAGCCACAGCTGTGAATGGCAACTAAGGCCCAGCCTAACACACTTTACTGAGCAGTTGCACACCCTGAGATATATCTTTCAAGGAGACAAAAATAAATCTTTTTCAATTCCTTTTTCTTGGGAGCATGCATTGACACTGCTGTTTTTCTCCCCTCTCTGTGCCTGAAGAGGACCAGCGTTCAGCTTTCTGCCGAGCTATAGGGACCATCCAGAAAGTCTGGAGTAATATCAGAATGAAACCACTATGCTCAGGTATTTTGACTTCCCAGGTATTGTTACTTCCCTTTCCTAAGCCATTGATGAAGGCTAGAACCCATGCCAGTTGCTGGGCTTGCTTTGTTTTGACCCTCTAGCTGAAAACAAATTAAAAACCCTTCCAAAAATTCAAAACCTAATATAAAAAAACTCAAAAAGGTTTTAACAAAGGCTAGTCAGTTTTCCCCTTGGAAGAATTCTTCCTAACACTACATGAGGCAGAAGAGAAACCCTCCATTTTGTTACAGATGTCAGAGTCCCCCTGGACCTGTTGCAAAAGGACATCAATGCCAACACTGCTGTCCTGAAACTCCTCCCAACTCCACTTTCTATTGGTTACCTTGTGACGAGGCTTCTCATACAGCTCCAGAACAGTTGTGTGGACACAGCTACACGGATCACAAACGAACAGCAATGGTACATTGCAAACCATCCCTCTGGAGCAAATCAGGACTCGTCTAAGAGCTGCACGTGTCACTGATTGCAAAGTGGGATGAGGTAAGAAGCAAGCTGCTATCCTTAACAGCAAAGGGTAACTTCTTCTTTCCCAGGATCATCTCTGCAGAAGAAGTGAAACCATCTTCAGTGCTGAAGATAACTGAGAATGATCTGATCACTGCGACACTGGCCAACTCCCAGTATGTGATAGAGGAAGACGGCACCAAGACAACCCATTTTGACTTCCAGACACTGCAGCGGCAAGTGATCCAACATTTTATCAGTGGGAGACCTATCATCAAAGTTCAGCATGACGCATTTTCGGCACAAGCCAAGTTGCAGTCCTCCAGGCCAGCAGAGGGTGTAGGATTTTACTTCCAGCACCTGATACCTCTCCAGAGCTGGAGGAAATACAAATGGGGTGCGTGTGCGTTTGGCCACCCACCACTCTGCATCTGTCTGCATTCCTTGGATTGTAACAGTTGTGTGGTCAAAAAACACACTGTGCTCGGCAAACCTTGGTGGTGTGAATGGCAATGTGCGCCTTTCTGTTCAAAGCCTGCAGGGGAAGTTGGCCTGGATTTTTCTTACAACCAAGAAGGAGTCAGACACTATCTAAAAAGACTCAAGAGAGTTGAGTTCCTGGGCATAGTATAGGGCTGGGGTCTAATGTGGGTCCATATTGGAGAAGCCAGTCTTCTGCTGTGGTATTCATCTTCACTTACATTAGCCTTTGGCTTTCCTCCAGAAGCTCTCAGGGGACCAGGTTTGCAAACGGTTATTCACATCTGAAAAGGCAGGCCAGAGGTACATACCTCAAAAATTAAGTCTTGCAGGACAGCAAGGAACTTAGGTAACTAAGTCCCTTCAGCCCATTTAAAACTTCCCATAACCCTCAGATGGTTATGTAAACTTCAGCTGGGGTTCTCCTATGACTGCTGGTTGTCCCAGCTATTTCCTATGTCAGAGGAAGGGCCTACTGGGTGTTTGGAGTTGTGAAATGTGAAAATCTGGCCACAAGGGAGTGAGAAAAAGGGGTTCAAGGGCATTATAACATGGCTGTCATGTAGTGATTCAGGTCCACATGCTTGTCCTACAGTAGTAGAGTAGGATAAGGAAAGAAACTGACACACAGTCACAGAGAAACTGAAAGAGTTTGGCTGGAGGCACCTCTGAATGTTTCTGGTCCAATTGTTTTCTCCAAGTAAGGATAACTTCAAAGCAAGAGCAGATTGCTCAGGCTGTTGTACAGTTGAATTTTGGAAATCTCCAAGGGTAGACATTCACCACCTCTCTGCTCCTCTGATGTTTTAGCACCATCACCGTGAAAATGTTTTCTGCATGCTTAAGTAGGAGATCTATGGCTGCCCCTTGTCATTATTGCTTTCACTGCGATCCCCCTTTTAGTAGTGGAAGAACAATTAGATTCTTCCCACAGAGTTCTCTTTTATAGGGCGAACAATCCCCTGCATCCTGTTCTGCAGCCCCTCAATCATCTTGTTGGTCTCTGCTGGACTCGCTTCAATTCGTCAATGTCTCTTGTACTGAGGAACCACAAATTGGACACAGTACTCAAATGTAATGTCATAAATGTTGACTAGATGGAAAGAATCACTTCCCCCAAGCTGCCGGCTACACTCCTGCTAATGTAGCCTGGTGTGCACATGGCCTTTTTCACCATAAGAGCACACTGCTGACTCCTGTTCAACCTGTCTACCAGGACACACAGGTCTTTTCTGCAAAGCTGCTCCAAGCTGCTCTGCTCTCAGCCTTATGCTGTTGCATATGATTGTTCCATCCCAGATGCAGGATTTTGCATTTGCCTTTGTTGAACTTCATGAGGTTCCTGTTGGCCCATTTCTCCAGCATGTTGAGACCCCTCTGAATGGCAGCCATGCCCTCTAGCATATCAGCTCTTTTCCCCAATTTGGTATCATCCACAAACTTGCTGAGATGTCATGTCAGTTGTTGCTGAAGTATCTTAACAACATCAGCCAGCTCCCTCAGCACCATTGGATGTGTTCTGTCTGGTCCCATGGACCTGTCTCTATCCAGCTGTACTGGGTCTGGCTGAGATGGAGTTAATTTTCATCATAGCAGCTTATATGGTGCTGTGTTTTAGATTTGTGACCAAAACAGTGTTGATAACACACTAATGTTTCAGTTATTGCTGAACAGTGTTTGCACAGCATCAAAGGCCTTCTCCATTTCTCATTCTGCTCCCCCCCAGTGAATAGATTGGGGATGTGCAGGAGGTTGGAATAGGACACAGTCAGGCAGATGACCCAAACTAACCAAAGAGGTATTCCAAGCCATATAACATCATGCTCAGCAATAAAACAGAGAAGAAGGTGTTTTAGGGAGGTTAGTCACCTTTTGCTCGGGAAATGGCTGGGCATTGGTCTACCCATGGGAGGTGGTGAGTGGTTGCCTTTGCATCACTCATTTTGTTTTCTCACTTTTATTCTTCCTTTCCTTTTTCGCCATCCCACTGAGGGTAAGGAGGGGAGGGAAGTGAGTGAGCAGCACTGTGGTGCTTAGCTGCCACAACAGCAACTTATCTCAGTGGTCCCTAATTTGGTCCTCTTTTTTTTTGTGACATGCCTTTAAACTTTGCCAGTAAACACAGAGGACTGAAAGCAGGCCTTTACAATAAAGAGTGAGGCAAAGAAAGCACCGGATATCTCAATGAGTATCTTTTCCATGTCTCTTTGTCAGCAGGTCCCCTTCCTTGTTGAGCAGTGGGCCCAGTTTTCATTTGGTCTTCCTTTTGCTACTGATGTACTGATATAGGAGCCCTTCTTGTTGGCCTTCACATCCCTCAGCAGTTTCAACTCCAGATGAGCTTTGTCCTTCCTATCTCCACCCGTGCATGCCTAGGCAATGTCTCTATATTCCACTTGGGTAGCTCCTCCCTGCTTCTGCCTTCCCTATACCTCCTCTACTAGGCTATCATTGCTACTGGCCCTGCAACCAAGACATGGGTGACTGTGTCCTACTGCATGGTCATGGGTTTCCCATTTGGCCTGTACCAACTGATACTTTCTGTCTTCATAGCCACTCATTTGCTTTCCAGACGGCTCCATCGTTTACACTGAACAGCATGAAGACCCTGCAGCACACAAAAACAAAAGTGAGAGAACAGCTGCAACAGGTACGAAAAGAGCTTACCATCATTTTTTCTATCCAATCTTCCTTCTGCCTTGTAATGCTTATTAATAAGCCACCCCAGGGGACAGAGAGCTCAACAGAGAATACGGCACCCGCAGAATGTGTAAAAAGGTCCAAGTCCAAATCAGGCAGGTGGCTGGAGCCTCACAAGGAGCCAATTTTCTTTGCTGGCTCTAAAGTGAATCTAGGCAACTCACTCAGATGGACTCACCTATACAAGTGTCTAAACCGGGGGATATGGTGACCACAGCATGCCATTCACTGGCATGGTGGATCAGCACAGGTGGCAGCTGTAGGGTTATTGCTCCTGCTTGCAACTAGACTGGGGAACCCATGTCCTTGTAGTGTCTCTGTCTTTCCCATGTAGACCCTGCACGTCACCCACATATCTTTAGCTCTCCCTCTGATAAGAGGACAGAACTGGTGCCAAAGATTCTACAGTCATTTTGCTGTACAGGCACACTTGCAGGACCCAGACCTCATGTGTCAGGGTCACAGTCTGGCTGTATTTCTCCTATTGATAGGAATCACTAAGTGTGAACCAGCTGAAACGGATCATGGCAGAAGCCCGATCAGTGAATGCTATTTCCCAGACGCTTGCCACCTTGAAAGTGGCTGCTGAGTTCCTGGCCGTGACTGGTGGGCACCCAGAGTGCCAGTTGTCTGCGTATGTAAAAAATGAGCTGAAGATGGATGCAGGTGTGGAACAGTTCAGAGAGTTGCCGGTAAGAAAGGCGCTTTCCTTGTACTAAATGGGAAACTGGCTGAACATTTCCATCCCTCATATCCTCCCCTAAGGATTAAGACATCACCTTTTAAGTCACACACTCTTTTGTGAGCTAACCCAGAACATGGCCAACTCAGCCATGGCCTTTCTGAAGAGCAGGAACTGGCTGACTGATTGCCCATGTTTTCTCCTCCTCCAGGTGGTACCAAACACTCAACTGAAGCACATCCTGTCTCTGTGGCAGACATTGTCAGCAAAGAGATCTGTGCTGCTGGTGCAGATGAATCAGGTGAGGGAGACAGCCTGGTTCACAAAACTGTCTACAAGAGCTAGGGGAAGAGAGAAACTTCTTGACAAAGTGGATTTTCTGTGGAAAACTTTGGAATTTTTTAGGAAAACAATAGGAAAATTTTGTGATTTTAATATCTTACCATTCAGCAAGAGCCAAGCAATATTAATCTACTTAAGTCACGTTAAGACCCTTGGAAAAGGGCCATCCACAAGATTTTGTGCTAGAAGCAGTGGTGCTTTCTGGCATGGGTCACACCAGCAGCTGGTGCTGTGGTCTCTGGTGGGCCTGGCATAACAGCCAGGAACAAAGAGGGTCCCAGTTCTACCTCTTCTATCAAATGTAGCCCCCAGACAGTCTTTGTGGGTAGTCCCAGGCTGTCCTCTTGCTGATGTTGTTTGTCATTGCAGAATCCCTTCTGCCTGGTTTCTGAGCAGTACCACGAGGAGCTGAGTGCAGAGCAGGAGAAGGCTCTGACTACTGCACTCTGCACAGTTAACCTGGATTTGTTCCTCATTGAGCTCCACGAGATGATCATTGTGCCTCTGGATAGCTTTGATCCACAGTGGGGGTAAGAGCAGATTTTTCCTGGTTTGTTCCAGGGGTAGATGCCAACTCTTTAGACCCAGATGGAAGGGGTCTTGAAGTCCCTTTTAAGGTGGGCTCTTGAAGCTTGCTGGAGAGAAGGGCCATGCCTTCCAAAAGTGGGAGTTACTGTGGCTGTGATGAGCATCATCGAGTTTTTTTGTGGTGCCCAGATAAAGAGAAGTGGGAGCAAAATACAGCAGAAACCCCAGCACCTTTCATCTGGCATGTCATGGGGAAGCAAGAGAACCACTAGAAATCATACCATCATGGAGTCTTAGGTTGGGAGGGCCCTCTAGAGGTCTCTAGTCCCCCCTTTTCATTAAAGCAGGTCTGACTTCAAAGCTACAGCAGACTGTTTGTCCAGTTGTGTTCTGACTATCTCCAAGGGTAGTGCCACCACCACTCTGCATTGTCCCAGGGCTGCACCACCTGTGTGGAGAATATTTTTTTCATTATGTTTATTCAAGATTTCCACTGTTGCATCTTGTGCTTGTTAATTCTTGTCTTTTCCCTGGGCACTCCAAGAAGAGTCTGGCTTCATCTTCTTGACACTCTCCCACTACATAGTTAAAGATGCATTTGGACTTCCCCTTTACCTTCTCTGCTGAAGGCTGAGTAACCCAGTTCTCTACCTTCTCTTCATATGTCCTGTGCTCCAGATCTCTAATCATACTGGTTGTGCTCCACTGAACTCACTCCAAAAAGTCAATGTTTTTCTTGTACCGGCAGCACAAAATCGGATGCAATCTTCCAGATGTGATTTCACAAGTGCCAACAGTGGAGAAAAATCACTTAACCAGCTGGCTACATTCCTGTTAATACAGTTCCATATGTGTCTGGCCTTTGGAAAAAAAAAAAAAGGATCACGTAAGGGAACAGAAAAGGTGCCCCCTATACAGGACCAATGAGAAACCCCAATGTGCCAATGTGAGGATATGGCCACACCACCTCCCTTTCCCTGTTTCTTGCATAAGAAAGGTCTCCTAATGCCACTGTGACAGCATGACAGGCCCCATGAAGGAGGGAGCTGGGGATATATAGAGTTGAGTACAGGTAAGTTCAGCAAGCTGTGTTATACCTGAGATGGGAGAGGTGGTCAGTGAAGCCGAGAGCTCAGCTTTGAGGAGGCCACAACGTCTGTTTGGGTGCTGTTGACAATATTGACCAACAGTTGCCCACATTGTTGTCTGATACCACCAGAGATGCCCCAGAGACTACTGCCTGGCTTCCAGCTGCGAGGCCATCTCAGGGGTACCAGCACTGAGTGTCATTGACTGCCAGTATTGCCTGCCAAAGGTCAGGGCATTTGGATACCCAGCAGACCAGACACTTAAAATTATCATCTGTCACCCACAGGCTAAAGGAAACTTTCATATCCTTCCTGGGAGACAGGCAAGATGATGCCTCCATTGCGAACCTGACAGGCACTTTGAGTCCAGACCTACTACTGAAGGATGTTGTTTCCATCTGGAAGACAGCTGTGAGGATCAGCAAACTTCATAGCTCTACTTACATCCAGGAGAGACCAACCTAACTCTTGCTTAGTCCCCCAGGAATTAACTTACCTGCAGCTTCTCCAGCCCACTTGTCAGCACCCTGAGTGCTTTAATTGTCCTGACCAACCTCACCAAGACTTTTCACCCATGCACCCACTGTCCACTGGTCCAGGAGCTCCACTTAAGCTTAGCCCTGGGCCTTCTGTCCCTGCCTGAGCTATGTTGTAGGTGCATTGGTGTCCAACCCTGTGCCCTGATAATCCTGATTTGCTCACTAGCCTTCCTGCTTTGACCTTGGACCTGTCTCATCACCTCACCTTGTTTGATGATCATTGGGCAGTCAATAAAATCTGTCTCTGCCCAGGTTCTGTGGGACTGCGCCTGGTCGATGGGGACACTCTCCTGCCTTTTCTGGGGTCACCCTCTGCTCCCAGCTCATTTTCATGTGTGGAACAGCCCCATGCCTGCTGCTCCCTGAAAAAAAATCTCCCCACCAACCATTCAGTTCTTTGCCAAGTTATTGCATCTAAGTTTCAGAGCAGGTTACCAAAAAACAATCAACTGGAAAGGGGGAGGGAAAGGGAACCTCATTTAATGCTTAGTACAGTATTTGTGCTTTTTTCCTAATAGGTGTGATAGCATATTCAAGGCAGCAAAAGTAATGTAAGCAAAAATACGCCTAGAAATAAAAATCAAAAGCAAGAAACAGAGCAGCTGCAGCTCTGCGGCATGGATGAGCAGTGGTACTTCCACAATAAAGACACACTTCACAACTGCAGCGAAAACCCATTTTATATCCATATTTGGGGACTCTGCACCTTGAGAGAGATTATAAGTCACCCCTTCAGTTGGCCCAGATCAGGTCTTCAGTTTTGGTCATCCTGACATAGAAGTACATGCTGTGCTTCCTTACTGGTCCCAACTTTGTTTTCTTTGGTGTCCTCCAAATCAATCCCAGTTCCCAAGATTGAATTCCTCTGGTGATGAGTGATTGACTATTGGTGAGTAATTTATAGCCCTGGGCCTTCAAATATAACCTTGTGCCTGTATTTTCAAGGCCTCTGCTCTCATCTCATGCCTGTACTCCACTGCATTTTTATTCTAGGGTCATATGTACTTTATCCTGCATATAGTAACTACTTGTTACTAGTGTTAGTCACTATATATATATGTGTGTGTGTGTATATATATATACACACACACAAAAATACACATGTATATGTACATACGTATATATGCATGCATTTATATATACACACATACATGCACATGTATAAATATATATACACACGTGCACACAGAAAAACTATTGTAATGGTAGAAAACACAGTTATACAGCACTAAAGCTCAGACAATTTTAGGTGCTATAAGCTTGTGGAGAAAGGAAGGAAGAGAGGGATCCTTCTGGCGCTGGTGCAAAGCAAAACCTCGGCATCCCCTTTCCCCACCATAACTTTGCAGCTGAGCAGCAAGAAGTAGAACAACTGGCTCATCTTCTTCCACGTAGCCAGTGGAGGATGACACGGGAGGTGAGCCAGGCTTTTGCGGGAATAAACCAGCTGGGCTCACCCACAGTGATGTGTTCTTGGAGCAGCTCTGTGGAGACTTGGATGTGGGGTCTGCCACAGGGCTGGGGGTTGAGAGCCAGGGGCCCTGATGGATTGCCAGGCTCCAAAACTGGCCAAGACCTCTGGTGGGAACCGGGAGCATGCTGAAAACTGTTCCAATACAGAGATAGGATGTGAGAACAAAATGCACAAATATTGTTGCTGTGGTATGCAAACTCTGTGCTTGAGATGAGAAACTGCTTTTGCTTAATTAAACTTAGGTAGGTGAGTAAGGCTAAAGTAAGGTAATTCTGCCCCCAAAAACATAAAATGTAAATCAGATGCTACCGCTATGGACCATGCAGTCTTGCAGCATAAGACATCCTTCATCTAAAGAATTGTATCAGTAATCCCGTAATAGGCCTAAAATGCCCAAGTAACAGTGTCAGAAACGTTGAATTTGGGTATGAATGTTACAGAGTTGAGACCAAGGAGTAATTAAGGATTGTTTACTTGGGAGGACTCTGAAGGGCAAAAAAGAAGTGCAAAGGAGGCAAAAATGTGGGTTCAGGAAAAGGAAAAAAATGGGCTTACCAGGCTGGTCCACAAGACTTGGTGTGGGAAGGTGCAGCAAAGATGCATAAACTTATAAGGAAGGTTAGACTTGGTACCTTAATACTAAGTGCAGGAGGAAAGGCAATAGAATTGCAGCTTAATAAGTGCTTGATTTATAAGATTTCTTTGTAGTAATATAATTATGATCAGTACTAATACTAGTAATAAGCAATAGAACTGTCACTCTGTATTACTTGCAGTGGCATAATTGTGAATTATGCTACTAAAAAGTGGTGTGTTTATAAGGTAGTTAAGGTGTTACAAGCTTTTTAGAGGTGTGTTTTTCTTAATTAATAAACATCATTACTATCTCAGTCCACTACCTCTCAAGCCTCCAACTGAAAGGAGAAGAGTTGGACTTGGGGCATAGCTGCTTTCCACCCTTGGGAAGAACAGGAGACAAGGAGAGGCGATTTTGACACATGGTGGACCTTCCTTCGGTGAAAAGGGGCTTTTAATAGGGGTAGGGTGGGGCTTCTAAGGCCCTGTGGCCAGACATACTCATGGCATAGCAGAGAGAGCGGGGGTGACAGGAGCTGCTCAGCACAGTTAAAGGGATGTAATGGGGAGAGATGATGTCTCCATTTGTGAAAGAGGGAACAATGCTGTAGTAGGGCCATACCTCCCCTCTGCTGTTTCCTTCAACACAAAGATAAAACTCTACGTCCAGATTTGGATTGGAGAGCACGTGGGGTGGATAAGCCAGCATGTTTGGACTGTAGTGGTCCCCAGACAGTGGCCTTGGTATTTGGCCAGTCATTTCCTCCTCCACTTGAATGGGAAACTCCTTTTCCATTCCCTCCCAGCACAAGGTCTCCCACATTGGTCAGATTTTCCTTGGATGAACCCTGGTAAAGACAAAGACTGACCATACCACGTAATGTTGCCCAGACAGCTAGCTGATGGGATCTCCATCCTTGGAGTCATTGAACGCTCATTTGGCCATGGCCGATGCCAGCCACACTCAGATGCTGGAGGCCATCAGTGAAACCTGGGATGGGGCTGAGTTCTTCAGCTTCATCCATCCATCCATAGCTTCATGTGGAGCTGACACAGAGCCCTAAAGTCCCACAGGTATTGCAGGATGCTGGTCAAGGTGTGCCAGGACAGGCTGACAGATTGGGAAATGGCTGAGCCTTGGCCACCACCTATTTCAAGGCCTTTCTTTGCAGCCATGTATGGGTTGAGGAGAAGGAGGAAGAAGAGGGAGGGGTGGAAATTTATATCATCTGTCAGAATTCACCCAAGAGGAAACTAAATTCTTCCAATCTCGCCCTAGGCAGACAAGTTTGGTTTTACTAATACATCAAAACTTCCGCTTTTTGCTTTGTGGCACATTCCAAGCAAAACATAAAGCCATAAATCACAGAGCAGTGGGATGATTGATTTAACTTAATAAAGGGAGATGGTAGGAGGAGAAAGTAAATCATACAGATGGGCTTGATTTGTGGCTACAAAAGCCACGTGCCAGCCTACATACACAGACAAAACATACAACTTAAGAGTTCTCTCTGCCCCACTACAACTCAGCCCTGTTACTTACTGCACTCCTGTAATCCCCGCTGCTCAAACATCCTGCTGATACACACCAATGACTGCCAGTTCTTTTGCTCAGAAGAAACCTTTTTGTTCTCTGCAGGAGTGAAAAATCTTGATGACATTCCTAGTGTTCACCGGTGTATGTCTCTGCTCGGTGTGTTACAGCTTGCACGGTGGACCACAGCACCCATCCTAAAACTGATGTTGCTAGAATCAGGAAGGAGACATAGCAGTCCTGGAGACCTGGTATCAGCAGCCTCCATTTGTTCACATGAGCTGAGCAGGGGATCACCAGAGTTCCCTGACCTGCACTGTCTCCAGCAGCAGCTGGGGATGTAAATCTCTGTCTGCAATCCCAGTCCTCACGTCCTTACCCCCTTGGGGCCAACTGCCTGCACCTGAGGGCCCAAAGCCCAGCTCTGACACAGCCCTCATGGCTGTGTGGCTGTGGCTCAGGCTGCTGCAGGTGTTGCACAGTTGTCAGGAGAAGCCAGGAGACATCTGTAGAGCAGAGCCAGGAAAGGACACAAGGTGACACCACAGGCACAAAGATAGGGCAGTTGAGATGGCATTTCTACCAGCTCAAGGGTTCATGAGAAAAAACCCATCATGGGAAAGTATAAAACCCTCAAGAAGCAAATAGGAAGATGAAATAGGGAGACTCAGCACCATCGAGGATGCGACCTGGGGCTGCAGAGATCAACTCTTCTCCCCTGAGGTGGTGCCCGTGCAGCCAGCCAAGGCACTGGGGTGCCGTACAGGGGTGGTGGGCTCCCTGTGCTCAGCTGGGTAGCTCGTTAAGCCCACGCTATCCTGTGTGTGTTAGCTAGCAAATACTAGCTTTGTTCTTTGGAGCTGTGTGTGTCCTGCTTGCAGCACCTCCTTGCCTGTGCAAGGAGTGCCCAAAAAATGACCCGGGGAGGGGAGGCTTGCATCTCACTGGGGCTCCTGTACTAAGCGCCACAACCTAGATACAAACAAGACTGCTCACAGGGGGAAGGACAGACTCTCCCATCCACAGCAAAGTTTAGGATCTGGGTCATGCAGCATGAGCCCAGCCATGGCAGCTGGTGAACTGCATGGGCGAAAGTGCTGCAGGGGAGGCAGGAAAAGCATTTACAGTCTGCCAGGAGGGCAGTAAAGTCAACACTTCAGGTTGCTGGCTATGGGCTTTGTGGAAAGTTGCAGCTACATTGACTAGTCTAGTAAAAGTGATAAAGGGAAGGCTTAGAGAGAAAATTGCATGTCTAGAAAAGAGAAAGATGGATTTAAAATAAGAGACTGAATTGCTGAAGGAATTGAGGCAGAAACGCATGTGCCTCTTGCAGGAGAAAACCTGCCATCTGCACCAGTGGGGGAGTGAGACCAGGCAGGATGCAATGGACAGCTTACAAGAGCTAATGCAGCAGAAAATTGAGATCAGGATCCAGATCAGCAGCAAGCACCTGTGAAGACAATGGCAAGAGAGACTCAGCATCGTGGATCTGATGCTTTGGTTTGCCAGAGGATGACTGAGTCTTTGGAAGAGCTGTGCAGCAGCAGGCTGTGGCTGCAGCCCTCCAAGAGGGATTCCTGGGGGGAGATATTGACCACTGGGCCAGGGAGGGGGCTGGGTGGTCTGATCCCAGGCCGGCTCATGTGGAGCCACCAGGTTACTCCCCTCCCCTCTGACCACTCCTCAGCAAAGCGCTGGACCCTGACCCTCCTCATGTCCCTGGTCACTGCTGGCACACAGCTGCTGCTGAAGGGATGCAGGAGCCAATTTCAGCCAGACCCACTTCAGAGCCTGGAACAAGCTAGAGCTGTATGACAGCTGCTAGGACCCTGTGTGGATACTGCTGTACAGGGGTGGTGGGATTTGCAGGAGCCCCAGAAACGGCCACCCGTAACCCCACCACAGCACCATCCAACCTTGTCCCAGTGTCAGCAGCACTGGGGGAAGAAGCTGGGGGAGAACACCATAGCCCGCTGTGGACAACTGCGGAGGCACCGCTGCTGTCCCTAATCATGGTGCAGTTGCTCAGTTTGGAAGAAGAGAAAGCTGAGGAAGGACCAGAGGGGGTTTTTTTAATCAAGAAAGCAGGTACTGAATACAAGATCAGATTTCATGCAGGAGGGACCAAGAC